GCCCAATTAAGGGATAAAACGTTTAAGGACTTTGGGGGATCTTGTTCTCCAAGATGAAAGCTTAATCTTCTGGGGGTGGGTAGATATATAAATGGGTAGGACTTTGAATCTTATCATAGACTATTGGATGGGAGAGGCTAATCAAGGGCTGAGAGAAAGAGCAACAAGAAAGAGAGAATTGAGAAAGAAAGAGAACGTGGGAGAGAGGGGCAAGAAACGCAAACAAGGGGGAAGACAGTAACCAAGGCCATGACAGAGGCCTGGAATGTGGCAGTATTTGCTGCTCGGCGGCACCATGATGACGAAGATACCACTAAGGAGAGTTTATTTATTTATACCAACAGCAACAATACCCGTGGTGAGTTTGGCAAGGACCTCAGAATTGGGGTAGGTGGGCAGGCTAAGGTTGATTCACAGGATAAACTTTTACAAGAGCAGGGGAAGGAGGTGGGCTTTATCCAGCTGACTTCAACCTTGGCAATTAAATGCTTTTGGAAGAGGGGTCCCAGAAATGGAATTTGCTAGTTGCCGCTGAAACGGTTCTGGATAAGGAAGGGCTCCAAAATGGTCCCAGTAGAAGGATGGGAGTGACGGTGATGGTCTTAATATACTATAAGTCATAAAGAAGTATATACTTTCCTATGGATGAACTGTTGAATTATTTACAAGAATAGGGACTTTAGTCTTATTTTAGCAGAATGCATCCCTGATTGATTTGCCCAAGATGCTATTATGCTTGCTGAGATCCTCCTAATATTTAACTTTGTCCATCTTCTGGCAGACCCTTTTGAAGGTCCAAACTATCACATTGCACCACGATGGGTTTACCACTTAACTTCACTCTGGATGATCTTTGTTGTCGTTGCCTCAATCTTTACCAATGGTTTGGTATTGGTGGCCACAGCCAAATTCAAGAAATTACGGCATCCGCTCAACTGGATTTTGGTGAACTTGGCTATAGCTGATTTGGGTGAAACAGTTATTGCTAGCACTATCAGTGTCATCAACCAGTTCTTTGGCTATTTCGTCCTTGGCCATCCTTTGTGTGTTGTGGAAGGTTATACTGTCTCTGTTTGTGGTAAGAAGTACTTATTCATCATGTTTTCTGCTTAATCCCTTTTTACCCCAATCCCTTCCCTCCAGGTCATAGTTTTATCCTCTTCCCCCTAATATAAGCACATCCTATAATCCTGTTGTCCTCAGAGATCACCCATCATGCTGCTCCTTTTCCCTCCATGTCCCTGAGTTGCTTCCCTATTAATCCCATGGACACATCTGGCAGAACATTTAGTAAAGGTTTCAGTATAACCATTACAGCTTTCTGACCCTTGATGCTATTTTATATAAATGTTTTAGCAGGCCAGAAACTGAATTTCTACAATGTAATGATAGATTACATATAATTCACACACACACACACACACACACACATCTAATAGAACTATGTCATTATTGTCCTCTTCTGCTCTTCCTTGCCAGGCATTACAGCTCTCTGGTCTTTGGCCATTATTTCCTGGGAGCGCTGGATTGTTGTTTGTAAACCTTTTGGAAATGTCAAGTTTGATGCTAAAATGGCTATTGCTGGTGTTTTGTTCTCCTGGATATGGGCTGCCTCCTGGACAGCACCACCAATCTTTGGCTGGAGTAGGTAAGTATAAGGAGGGGATGGTACAGAGCAACATTCCTGGAAACAAAGGAGCAGGGTGATGTCCTTCAGGTGTGTTGGACTAAACTCTCATCATTTTCAGCAGCTTTCCAACATAACTAAAAAATAAACTTACGTATATGTTTACATAAAGAGTGGTTAGCTTTCATCAAGAATGCTGATAGGGAAGTGTCAGTGATTTGGCTTTCTTTCAATGAGAAATGAGTTATGTGAATCATTGATCTTTTTTAATCTACAAGTCATTAAATCTTTCATTTGGCATTTATTTTTATGAGATGAAGAATGAGCAGGATATGTGTACAAGGGTACTCAGGTGTTGAAGCCTGAAGCAATTTTGAGTGCTTTGTCATGTGTATGTCAAATCTATCTTAGTCAAAATATTGTGTGGCATCAGAAATTCTTCTGTTTTATTTTATACAAGCAAACATAAAACATGCTAAGAGGAGCTCAATAGGTTATTCAAATCTCAAATGTGAAAATGACTTTCTTCTCCCAACCAGATACTGGCCCCATGGTCTGAAAACGTCATGTGGTCCAGATGTATTCAGTGGCAGTGAAGATCCAGGTGTCCAGTCTTACATGATTACCCTGATGATTACTTGTTGTATAATTCCCCTGAGCATCATCATTATCTGTTACTTGCAAGTGTGGATGGCTATCCGTGCGGTAAATACACACATTATATTATATCACAGATGTCATGTATTCTTCCTTTCCTCCTTTGTGTCCTTTGTGACTGGATCTCTCTTCCTTATAAAGCACACTTTCTCCCAAATTAAAGTATCACTGCTATAGTCTCTAATTGAGAGCTATATAGAGAATTAACCTTTTGTTAATGGATCCCCAATTCTGTCACTGTACTTGAAAATCCTTAATCACATTGCAACACAAATAAGATCTCCTCACTATCAATATATACCTAGCTAGTTTCCCTAACGTGATCTCCACTTCTATAAAAGTCCTCTGGCTAATCTTTGTTTCCTAATAAGGCCTTTGCCAGGAATGATTCCCAATTTTCCTTAGTTCATCTTCTCCATACTAATTTAATCTGGATCCAATTTCTATGGTAAACTCCTTTCTCTCTCTCTTGTTCCAAATCACAGCCTAGGGATCTGAGAGGTACCTTATTAACCTTACTTCTTTCTTTTCTCTTATAGGTTGCAGCCCAGCAGAAAGAGTCAGAATCAACACAGAAGGCTGAGAAGGAAGTGTCAAGGATGGTAGTGGTCATGATCATTGCCTATATTGTCTGCTGGGGACCATATGCATCTTTTGCCTGTTTTGCTGCTGCCCATCCAGGCTATGCCTTTCACCCTCTGGCAGCTTCCCTGCCTGCCTTCTTTGCAAAAAGCGCCACCATTTACAACCCAATTATCTATGTCTTCATGAACAGACAGGTAATTTGCTCTGACCCCAATGGAATAGCTAGAAATTATTGGAATTGAGATAGATGGGTGGATTAAGAGTAATGAACAGAAAGCAACTGGGGGATGTGGATTATATCATTTGGGGATGATGTTATGTTATGTGGTGGAAAAGGGTAGAACTTGTAAATGCTTATTGACATTTGTCTATCTCCTGGCAGTTCCGTAATTGCATAATGCAGCTCTTTGGCAAGAAAGTGGACGATGGTTCTGAACTTTCTTCTACTTCCCGCACTGAAGTCTCATCTGCCTCTAACTCTTCTGTATCACCGGCATAAAAGCTATTTCTTGATAGATATCAAGACAGTTCTGCGTCCCAGGAGAGCCCTAGTGAGAATTTCTCCTTCTTTCCGCAGCATATGGATTCCCTATGCATAGCTAACATATTGGGCTGCTATTGCACAAACCCGTTCCTTGGACTTAAGACTGTGACCCAGGTTGGGTGCTTCTATTTCTCCTAGGGAGAGGGAGGTGTTTCTGCTTTCCTTTCAGAATTGTTTAGGGGGTGGCAATGAAAAGTTCATATCTCTATATTCAAATATTCCATCAATCTGAAATTTTCCTGGGGCTTCAGGGGTTGTTTTGATTGTTGTTTTCATCCCCTATCATTGTATCTTTAATTAATCTTTCACTTATCCTTCGGACTGCAAGAGAGGCAGAACAAAGGGGGCTCCTGTGGAAAGTTTGTGACTTTTGTGAAGCAAGTCTATCCCATATTTTTTTTATATAGAGAATCCACTCATCTTCAAGATGCCACTTCCTATGAATGGGTAGATAGTTTGATGTATCCACAAAAGCTGATAATCTAGACATCAGCCACAGCAGTTCTGTTTTGATTATCCTTTGCTCTGCCCCTCTTATGAAGTGTTTGGGTGGGTGCAGGGAGTCCATTGAAAGGAGGCTGGAGAATGAAGTTGTTCCCTGCAATTTCTGTGCCTCAGCAGGTTTGGAGATACTGATTTCTAACTATGCCTAAGAGGAAACATAATTCTGGCAGAAATCATAAATGAGAACTTGCAGTAGCACTTTGGCCATTCCAGAGCGCTATATATCTCCTCAGCATGGCTCAACAGGACCCACTCTGTACATAGTATTTGATATTAAAATCACCCATGTTCCATGGGATATTTAGCTAGAAATGCAATGGATTTTAAAAATTTTAAAAAACCTTACAGCAGTGAGACAGAATAAATTAATGTATAAAAATGTTTACCTTCTGTATAAAAGCTGAGTTTGTATCTTACAAATTATATTGCAAAACACTACATTTTGTCCACAATGTGTATTGCTTGAAATGTATGCAGGCATGTGGGAATTTGCCTTAGCTGCCAGTATAATGACTGTGGATTAGTGGAAAAAGAGAAATATCAAAATGTAATTTTAATTTTTGACAATGGATATCTGTAGAAATCAAGCAGGGTGAAACTGGTTGCTCAAACTGAAAAGTATGGGTCACCCCTGACAACAGAAAAGTGTGAGAGAAACAAATCTGAGCAATGAGATAGAATATTTGGGAAATTTTCTTGTGTAAACTTTAACTGATGAGAAGAGCACTGAAGGATATAATTTCTGTTATTATATATTATTTCCTGTCTCAGGTACCAAAAAAATTGTGGGCTGAATAGCTTAAACAAGGATTTAAATCTATCAAATTCCATTTATTTTCTTTCATGTGCAATCATGCTTTCAAATACACAACATATGTGCATGCACATGTTCCCCTCTTCCTCTCCAAAAGTTGAACCTCCATATCAGACATAAACACCAATCCTCAAGCTTCCTGCAGTGTTTTTCAGCTCATCTGGGATGCTAGAATTCAGAGGTGGATTGTCATGTGGAGTTGTTTTTCAAGCAGTTTTGTAATTTAGTTCTTCATAGCTATAGAAACAATCAAGGAGAAAAGAAAGAAGAGAAAGAGAGACTACTTTTTTATTTTAATAAACAAATAAATAGTTATATTGTTGAGAAGCTGCAGCATAGGTGCAGAAATAGCAATGCCAATGTTGTCTGACTGTCAAAACGAAGGAAGCCATGTTTTCCATTCTGACTCAGTAAGGTCAGGGAAGTAATTCCATGCAAGAGTTATGGTGGTGATCACAAAGAGAGTGGACAGGGCCCGCATACGAGTATGCAGAAGAGGAACTATAAAAGCTGAAATGGTTGAAAAAAACACCAGGATAATGGCAGCAATGGTCAATAGGAGGTTCATGAGCTGTCCATAAAGCTTATACATACTGGCCTGTGGCATCTCCATTGCCTCCTGTTGTTGGGCTTGCTGCTGCTGTTCCAGTTTGGCAAGCCGGGTCTGGTAGGAATCCAGCACCTCCTACCACAAAGACAAGGAAAAGACAGGAGGTCAGGACAGGACCAGCCAGTTTCCAGACACTGATTTAGTTAATCCCACGTGGATTTCCACAGTGTTATTTTTCACCTGCCATTTGCAGGTTCACATGCTCTAATTCTTTGATGGATCTATTTATATCTGGAAAGAGGAAGATCAGTTTTCTGACTCCTGGGTAACCCAAGGGGCACTATCTAGACAAGAAAGATAGATGCCAACAAGTTCAGAAGGCTGCCAGAGTTTACAAATGCACAGAGAGGAAATACGTTAGAGGGGAAATGTTGAGGGCACTCCGAAACAGCCCAATTAATACTACGCTCATTGGTCATAGAATGCTGATTTGTACAAAAGGGGAAGGCACAATGCAATATTTTGTTGTAGATCTCACTTATGTGCATTACTAATGCTAACTTGCTGGTGTTGCAGTATGTGCAAAATCAGGTTCCTGGTACCAGTGTTTATACCACTCATAACATCGTTCTATAATCCTTCATCCTCTGAGTTTTCTGGCACCCTACATTGACAGTCAATGCAACCTTCATTTCTTATTGCAAAAATACACACACTCTCTCTAAAGACAGTTGTCGTACCCTATTGAGTAAGATGGGATATTACAATTTTTTCTTTTGTTCCATTTCTATGCACTCTGTCAAGCTAGCTACATGCAACCTGTTCCAATGACCTGTTCTTTGCTGCCAGAACAATACTCTGCACAGCACCCATGCATTTAGTTAAGCAATCTCTTACCCACACATCCCGGGACCTCTCATAAGATTGATACACCATCTTCTCCTCAGTGCAGGCCAGATCATGTTTGAGGTTGGTGATTTCGTTGAGATTTAGCTGTACCGCATCATTCACTTGTATTTCCAGGTTATAGTGCCTGAAGAAGGGTGGCATTAAGTGAGGTTCTATAATCTGATCCTCTTTCTAAGTCTTTTCTCTCCCCCCACCACCTCCCAGCCAACTGGCTGATCTTGTTACAGTCACCACTTTAGGCATTGCTGTAAATGGATTATGATGAGCTGGCTCTGCTTCCTGATTTGACACTTCCAGTACAAGAAATGGGTGACTATGCTCATCTTGGACTGGGAAAGGGAAGAGAGAGGATTACAAATATCCAGTGCCATCTGGGTTTGGGAATGTGAAAACAAAAGAAATCAAACATTCTGGGGTACATCAAAGCACTGAATCTAATACTGGTGGGAAAAAATACTTTTGGGAGCCCAGTGAGGATTGGAACTAGAAAGGCACTATTGCTGCCAAAGATGTGACAACAAGTAGATGAACAATTTGGTAGGCTGAATTATTATGCTAAATATGCTTCTGAACAGTTCTCTACCAGATATTCTTTTATCTAAATGAATTATCTGAAGGTAAAAATAGACATAATAAATATGAACTCAAATTTCTTCATTTGCAATGATTGACTTCCTTTTGGTTACATAACAGAAATGACAGAGATATTTACTAGCAAATGGAATGGTAACTCAGCCTTCAGTCTAGTCTCTTATTTCATACTGTAGGTACATTATTTTATTGTTTTTTTAAAGAAAAATATGAAGAATTATCTGTTCATTCACTGAAATTACTTTTTTACAAATGAATCTTTTAAATAGTCTAGTTTAGTTATAATCAAATCAAATCGAATCGAATCGAATTATTGAAGGATTATGGGATGGGAAATACCAGCAAAAAAACCTACCCAGTACTAGTGTGTTTCTGCTTTGCTCTGAAATCACATCAATAAATGTGGAGTGACGGCAGTGAAAATATCCCAAGTGAGATTAATTGTTGTAAAAATGTTCTCATTTTCTATATGCTTTTGCATACAAGATGGATTTTTTTTCTAATAAAAATTATTGCAACATTTCTCCTAGCTAAGGAGGTTGTGGCTATGCCCTTTTCATATTACAAGAAAAGCAGGAAGTTTCTGGGTAATGTCAATAAAGCATGGAAAAGATCAGAAGAAATAGGCAAGTTATAATCTGTATTGTGATACTACATTAGTAACACAAAGGGGAAAACTGCTTGCTTTTTTGTGTGTGTGTGGTATATGAGGCAAAGAGCTTCATATCCAGGAAAGACATAGTGGATTTGTCACTAAAGACAAAGCTGTTATGTTCTAAGAGAATGATTGTCAGGAGGAAACAGGACACCAGGGACAATCAAGCCTTCAATGGAAATGGAATACTGGGAACCACTGTTCTCAAGAATTTGGATGCCCACCTTTTCTTTTCCTCCTGTAGGAGTTCCATAATTTGCTTTTTATCAGCTTTCCAAGCTTCGTCTAACATGTTCCTCTGATTGTCCAGGGCTTTGTGATATTCCTTTAGCTCCATGATCTGGCTCTTCAGCTCTTGAAGCTTCTGTTTTGCCTCCTCTTCAAGATACTGTTTTGGGGCTGCCTCTGTGATAGACTCATTTTCTGTGCTCTCTGGGATGGAGCATTCTTCTATTAGAGGAGCTTCTGTAGGGCGGAACCTGAATATGTTATATGGCCCTTGATGGGCCACATTGACCTTGAGAGTTTGGGGCGGGGGAGAGGAACTGCTCTCTCCAGGTGAGAAATTTTTCTGCTCTAATCTCTTCAGTTGGGCTAAGCAATCCTGCAGACGCTGTTCAAGGTGAGCAATATTAGCCGAGGAGCGTTGGTTGATACGTTCAAATGCTTGACGGATGGAAGGTGCCTTTTCCCGATCAGCTTTGCTTACCAGTTCCACATAAGTGGAGAGGTTCTCATCACGATTGGCCTTCTCCACCCGCAGCAATTCAGACAAGTGCAATATGCGATGACGTAGAGCATCTTTTGGACTTCGGTAACTTGACTGGGAAGTTCCAGAAGCAACAGAGGTCCTGCGGTTCCGACTGGAGTCCACCTGCTACAAGGGTGGAGCAGGAAGACAGGAGTATCAGAGAAAAGTATACCAATTTAAGTTATCTTAGAATTGTCATATTTTACATGGAGCTCCCATTAGGTAACTAACAATGTACTTATCTTGATTTATCCCAAAATGTAAAGCCTTATACTATCTATTTTGTATTTACTCCCATATTCTTTGCTCTGCTTTCATCTAGAATAGTCAGTTTCTCTTTCTGTAAAGAAAGATGGAGTGCTCTAATTTGGAGATCGTGAGAGGAACAGGGATGCTGAATAAGAGATAACTGTCCAATAACTCTCTTTCCAGGCAAACCTATGGCAACGTATAACTCTGGATATTGAGTGCTAGTTCTTGCTGTCCCCTTAAGTTCAAATTTCTAAATTAAACAAGATTCCTAATAGAATTATATTTTGAACCTTGTTCATTCTCTTCCACCTGATTGCCTCTCTTGCTTCACCAGTGGATTTAGGCACTGATTCCTCAGTATATCTCAGTGTGTACAAGCACACTCACATTTAATTAAAATCTCTCATTTCTTTATTGGGGAAAACCAAGGTGTTTGGTTTCAGAGAAATGTTCAGCAGCTGGCTGCCTTTTCAGTTTTCTGGTGAACTTCCCTTTAACTCAACTACCCTGTCTCTTAAAGCATCCCTTAACAAAAGAGAAAAAGCATGGAGAGATTGGCTATATGTGGTACACATTGCTGTTCTTGGGAGACAAGGAAGTGGTCAAAAATCTTTTGAAATGCCTTCTTGGATTTGAGGAGAGATGATGAAGTGTGGGTATAATGCTTAAGGGATGACATTCTACTTTGGTCCTTTTTGACTGTGGCTGGTAAGGTGCAAAAATACTAGTGTTTCTTATCTTTTGCCCTATCTTCTGTTCTGTTCTGTTCTGTTCTGGAAGGGTACCCTTGCACAGAAAATTCCCTTTCATTAGAACAATGCAATGACATCATATATCATTCTCCCTGAATCATGACAACTGCCATTACAATCAGGGGTCCTTACTGCTTGGAATCTCATTACATTCTGATAGACTGTGTTCAAACTTAGAAATATTTATTTACCCATAGTTTACCAAAGTAATCCAACTTTTGAGTTCATCTGATATGCTATACATATGGATGGGTTTATCAAAACATCTTAGGCTACAATCTAATTGTGATCTACATTGTTATAGTTTGTGGTCCAGAATGTCTACAGGAGAGCCATGTGCTAGATAAAATGCATTTTGAATGTGAAGAAATGTGTTTTATTGGTCACTCACTAAATTGGGAGCTTGACTTGTTGATGCTTCTGACTGCTGGGAAGGTTCTCCTTTGGTTAAATTAAAGTCTACCATGAATGCTGCATGGAAATAGACAAGTGCACAAAAGTAACATTAATTTGTGACCTAATCTTTTTACATTTGTTGTTTTATTTGATTGTTGTAAGTCAGCCAAAGTTGCTTTTGGTGAGATAGACAGCTATACAAATTTGACTAGCAAAGAAATAAATAAAATTGTCCTTTGTTGAAGCTAAATTGTAACTTCCTCTAGCCTACTTAAAAATGGTGTTAAGAGGTAACTTTTATAACTTTCTTCATCCCTCTTTTTAAATTAACTAAATAAAAAGAAGAAAAATAATATACAAAATTATAACAGAAGAAACAAAAATATTTATATGTCTCAATAGAAAAACACTTTATATATATAAATAAATTGTGGCCATGATTCCTTACAATCATCCATAGCTTATCTATATTAATCTAATATATAGTAATTAATTAAACCACTGAATAGGTGGAGCCATTTGTTTGTCTTTCAGATGCTGAACTGTAAATTATTTGACTGCAAATTTATACTTTTTGTCCAGGAGTCAACTTTCATGTGAGAATACAGAGCATAAATATCTAAATATATTAAATCTCAAAGTTAAGTAAATACATGTGATTGTTTCTTACTGAAATGTTATCATATATTTTAAAAGAGCATTAATTTCACATCATCTTTAACAGCCTAAATGCAATGAGGTTGTTTCTAAAATATTATTTCTTGTTCAAAAGGATGTAATCTAAAATTTATTATTTTTAAAAATCTTGTTAAGTAAAACATGCAGGCAAAAAGAAAAACAAACATACTTAAAGAATTTTGAAAAAAAATGAAAATACAAACCAAATTAAAAAGAGTTTTAAAAATACTATAAAATTGCATTCTAGCAACTCCTCTCTCTTTTTTCTCTCCCCATCTGATTGCTACTTGAATATTTTTATATTTCATTTTGGACATTACTCATTTCTGTTTGAATTATTTTGTTATTATTATATTTTAAAACTTTATATTTTTCTTCAAAAACTATACTCTTAGTGCCTTAGTTTGCCTTACTGTGTGGTATAGTTTGTTGCATATAATGGAATCACTCCTGGTTGAATTTGATTAGACAACTCCTGTAAATGTACAATTTTCCATTGCTGCATACTCTTCAATGTACTAACAGCAAGATTTCTCTTTTCCAATGTTGTGGCAGACAACTGCAACATAAATCTTAATAAAATAACTTTCTTGGATAATGCCTAATAAAAATATTTGTGATTTTAATTTTATTTTCAGAATTTTCTCTATGTTTTGTAACAATTTTATTAAAGATTACATTGTACAAATAAATGTAATACAAGATATACAACATAAAACTGTGTGTATACACAAAATAACAGACATAAAGTATAAAGGAAAAAATAAAGAAAAAAATTAAAAAAGAAAAGTAACTTCATCTCAGCAAGTATAAACAACTTCAACAATTCATCGCCATCTATTAAAATACAACAAACCATATCTTCCTCCCATGTCTTACCTCATTCTCTATAAACAAATTTTTAAAATCTCAACATCTATCCTAATCAGTAAAAACCCATTAAGAGTTACCAAAAATAACCAGTGTATTACAATCTAATAAACTCACCTGAATTCCTTCCTTTTACATTTAAATCTCATTTTCTATCATTAAACAAATTCCTCCAAATCTCATCCAAATCTAGTCAATAAAAATCCAATAAAAGTTGTTAAAGATAATAACACAATTTACATTGTAACCAGATAAATTAAAAATACAGCAAATGAACTTTTCCCCATATAACTCTTACATATACAAACGTTTAAAATATAATCATCCTGATCAGAAAAAATTCATTAAAAATTCCAGAAATAACAACTTATCTATTTTAACCTTGATCAAATAGATAAATGTTATATTCCTTCCCTCTGTTTACAATAATCTTAATCTCTTCAAATAGTGTCCAAACACTTTTTTTTCCTTTTTTTCCCCTTTCCTCTTCTCTCACAAGATCATTGATAATGTTAACAATTTTTTTTTCAAAATCCAATGTAAAAAGATTATCCAAGACACTCTTTGGACTATTATTTCTATGTCCAAACATCAGCCTGGGTTTTTTTCTGTATTCAATATTTCATCTTTTTCCATATCCTTCTTATAGCCTGTCATTTTTAATTCACATTGAAATCAATTTCAGTCTTGTCCAGAAATGCTTGTTCCTCTTCTGTAACATCATTTAGTCTATCAATAATTTCAGAGATCTTTAAAATTAACTTCTGAGTTTATTGTTCACAAATAGCTCTCAATGTACCCATTGATGAAGATTTTGCTCCATTCTGCATTATTAGATTGAGTTTAAGTATGCTTCTCTTTCATTATAACCTTTATTTCTTTCTTGTGTCCCCTAGTGTCCAACTTTCAAAGTCCTATTTTATCATGTTGTTTTTCTTCCAAGTGCAAAAACATGGATAGTTTCCCTCGGGAAGGATTTTTCAGAATGTTACTAAATCCATCTGGACCCTTTATAATATTCTAAAATTAACTCTAATCCCCTTTTTGCTATTAATTTTTTAAAATTAAATCCTTAAACTCATACTTAAAACTTTTTTGTAAAGGATTGAAGGAAATTAATGCAGTGAATACCATGAAACTTGCCATTACAGAGGTTCTGAATATTTAAAAAATAATAAAACAATAAAAATTAATGCCAAAATGATTACGAAATTAGATTCATGGAACTTTTTCCCCCATTCCCAGTCACTCAACACACAACCAGATCACAAAAATATTGGTTCCTGACACCTACTCACAAAGAGCCATTGTCCAGAATACATGTGGGCAGGCACATGATTTCTCCTTTATCCAGAGAGATTTCACTAGCCCGGATCCCTATGCAGCCGGCAATTTCGGTCATAACTTCATTCCCCCTTCTTCAGGGGTATCTTGAGTTTGCCATATCCTCACCAGAAGTCCAGAATGTTCTGAATATTTTGATATATTTCTTTCCAGTATTTTGGGGAATTTGCCTAACTTAGCTGATGTTTTTTGTGAAAAATTGCTAATAGAGATTTTTATCCCATTTTTTTCTGAAGAATCAGAATAATAGAAAGCCTAGAAATATAAACATACTGTTTTTTATTGTGCTGCTAAGAATTAAATTACATTTTCAAATAAAAAATGTTAGTCTGTTACAGTTTTTGAAATGAAGATACTACCTATATATAATGCAGTTTCTCCATTCCACTAATTAATATGGACCTATGTAAATTAATAGGAATCACAGACAGCTTTTGTGAACTAATGGGGTTAGTATAGCCATCCCATTTAGATGAAGCAATTGCTCTTCCAATGGGATTTTTCTACCAAGAAATTCCTAGGAGATAAATCTATTAGTTAAAGAATATCTTCCATTTGATTACACTTGCTATTGCCCCAAAACTCCTGCCTGAAATAACTACCCCAACTGCTCTTACAATAGACCTCCTTCTGAGTGAATGAGGCATATATTGTAACTGTAATGTGCTTCCCATTATCCTATCCTTAGAGATTGTTGGATGCAGCTGCTCCAGAATGCAGCCTGAAGTAGTTAGATGTGTATCTCAGTTTCTGCATATCACACATCCTGTCTGAGATAGTTACCAGTTGGCTTCCAAGTGCAATTCAAGATGCTGGATCTCATTTTAAAAGCCCTTTACGATTTAGGACCTAAGTATCTTTGGAACTGCATGATCCCAATTACGGTATATTTCCTCACCAAATGATATCAGGAAAAAATTAATTCTTTTGAGGTTTTATCTCACAGGGAATCCCATCAGCAAGATCCACAAAGCAGCCCTTGTCAAATGCTGCCCTCTGCCCCTCATTCACCTTGTCTGTATGGTCCTTATGCTGCTGATTTTTGGAAGGCAGTTAAAATCTGACTGTCCTAAAGGCTTGGGATGGATATGTTTTAAGGTAGTTCTCTCCTGTAGTGCAAAGCTATTTGTTGTAAACCATCTGCAACCCAAAAAGAGGCTATACATTTCTACTACCCCTGTCCAGTATTTATTTAATGGTGCAATTGTTCATTGACATATTGTATAGCTTGTCCTGCTTAGTGACCACTCATTCAGCAATCCTTTGAACTTACAAAGATGCTGAACAAGTTGTACCTATGTCTGGTCCTCAAAATTCTGGCCTTTGCAGCATCCCTTCAGTTATACGATTGCGATCTGACATATGGTAACTGGCCCACAATTATGACATTGCAGCATCTCACAATCATTGGGAAGCTGGACAGGCATAATTAATGGAGAAGTTGGCAGGAGGTAGCAAATGGTGACCCCATGATGTTGCACTTAATGATGTAGCAGGATTTGCTTAACAATAGCAGCTAGAAATGCCAGAACTGCCATCATTAAGCAGCATGTTCACATGACATCATACTTTACCACCATATTGCAATGGAAACTCTGCTCCCTACTGTTGTTGTTAACCAAGGACCAGCTGGCACTGGTTGATTGTTATGATTGATTTATTCCTGGTTATTTAAGGTATGGAAGCTGCTCGAGTTGACTACTATTGGAGAAACATATAAACTCAATCATTTATATAGAAACCCATGTGTTGGTGGGAGTTAAGAACCAGTACTTGAACTGTATTTGCAAAAGTGATCAACCACGTTATATGACCAAAATTCAACGTTATATGACCAAAATTCAGATGGCAGGCAGATGATGTCACTTTATCTAGGAAGATCGAAGTAAATATGACTTTATGGATGAGATTGTATTTAAAATGTTATTTGATAAAACTGTTGCCAATCAAAGATGGCACTGAAAATAATGTTTTCTCCTCAGGCAGTGTCAAGATTAAGCCCATAGTGAAATCCAATCGAATCCAATTCTTTCTTTGTTTACACCTAATAGGCAGAATCTTGCAGTCCACATCTAGAATAATCAGACAGTGAGTTTTACTGTTAAACATGCTATCTAACACAATGTTTTCTGTGAAAGTAATTTTGTTGTGATTTTTTTAAATACATTGTACAAAATGAGTATACAATATAATCCACTACTCCTAAGCATAGGTCAATAGACACGAGTAGTCTTTTTCCTCAACCCAACTTTCTATCTGTTATTATTATTACTGTTTATCAGCCAGATGTTTAGACTGGATGTAAGTTGTTCCAAGTACAGTAAAGCTGCCTTTTGCAATTGACTGATGGAGGCTTTATGGCCAATGGTGTTCAAGTGACACTCCAGTTGTTTTTGGATTGCATCCAAGGAGCTTATTGCTATTAGTACTATCTTTACTTTCTTTTGCCACAGTCATTCTATTTCTATTTACAAGTCTTTGCATTTTGTGATTTTCTCCAGGTGTCTCTTCTATTCTACTATTGCCAGGTACTGCCACATTATCAGACTAATATTATGGTTCATCACAGTCAGCCAGATGTTTAGACTTGATTTGGCATTTTTATTCATCTATTGTTATTGTTAATTTTATATTAAATTAATCAGGGGCTGAATTAATATGTCTTGCAAGTGCTGTACCTGCATCTTGCATTCCAAACCTTGAACGAGTAGGAGGTTACATTTACAATCATATTTTCATGGGAAAAAAAGGATAAATCTGAAAAGGGAGCAAATCTGGCAGAAGTCTATAAAGATAAAAGATGTTTATAACTTTGTTTTACAAAGGAAAATTCAACAGCAAAACCACACAAATAATTAAATTAAATCTAAAGAGCAATTATTTGAAATAAAGGACAGATAATAATAAAGGACATATAATCACTGTTGTCATATGAGATTATCTCTGATTGCTTCACCTTCTAATCTTTATTGCCTTTCGGTAGCTATGAAAATAAACAGGGATCCATGATGTGCTTGGTCTCTTGACATGAAGGCAGAAACATTTCAGAAGACTGAGAGGATCATTACACAAATCTAGCTCCTACTGGCACAAGCAAAGATAGTTCAGGACATTTTGATGCCTTATGCAGAAAGACAGTATCCACTAAAATTAATACAAGCTGTAAAAGAGCATAGTGGTATGGTTTGGGGGGAGGGGGAGGCCCTTCCATGGTTTTTGCTCTTTCAACTGTGGCTTGCCCAGGACTTTCAGACCCTTCTATGTTCTTAAATGTCTGTAATGGCACAAAATATTACTAATAATGATGGTTTGCCGTCACAGACGGCAACCATATGCGGTGGATCTGTAGCAAGGTAGGATGTGGCTGACTAGTTTGCAATTTTGTGTAGGGCACAATCACAGCCATTGCAGCCCAACATTTCCTCCAAGGTACGGTAACTTACTCCACTTTAGGGTCCACTTTAATAGTCAATGGTACAAATAAAGGTGCATGTGTTTAGCAAAGTAATTATACTTCTCCTATATTCTAACTTAAAAAGGAATGCTATATTTATGGCACAAGATAGTGACATATTCTTTCTTCTCTCTCTTCTCGTATCTAAAAACGAGGATGGCATACAAACAAACTTGAGGCCAAGCACTTTGTCTAAGCATGCTGTCAAGTCTCTTGGCAAACAGACACTCTGGGCAAGCTGCCAGTGGCATTCTTCCTCTCCTGCAATGCCAAACCTGCAAGGCTACACATAGAGAACTTCCAGAGAGGAAGTTCACCACATTCCAGGCTGCCTGATGTTTCTGGACAGGCCATATGTCAATTCCTTCTTGCAGTTAGGCTCTTAAGGTCAGCTCTGCAGCCCTTGCAATTTGATTGGGTGAATATTGCGTTTTGGTATTGAGCTCAGCAAGAATTATTCCCCAAGTTGTAGGTAGGATTTTATAGTCAGTACCTGGGGAGGGGAAAGGGAATTCTTTCCTGCAATGTCACAAATGGGGAAATAATTTTCTCCTGCATCCAGACCTCTTTTAAAAAGGTGCTCATCGGAAACCAGCCTATGAAAGGTAAGCGGCACTCCTCCGACGTCCTCCGACGTCCATTCACACAGATGGAAAACATTTCTTTCATTTTCGAGCACAAGTAGTAAAAAGTATGGATCCCATTCAAGCACCCTGAAAAAGCTGCTTTCTTCAGTCCAGTCTAATGTAGCGACGTCAGAACAAGATTCTCGGGCTGTACCACATCTAATTCACTCCTCGTCCATTCGGCTCCCACCCTCCGCGAGGGTGGCTCCAGAAAGCAGAGGGCAGAACCTGGCGAGTATCATGTGAAGAGAAAGTGCCCAACTGAAACTGATGTTTTAGCACGCCCTCAGGCCAGGCAATTGCTTTTACGCATGGGGTGACCGACGCAAACCCCACTCCTCGCCAATTTCCCCAGCCTCTGAGCTCACTTCCTCTTGCAGGCGGAGCGCCGGCCAGCCGGATTAAAAAAAAAAAGAGCAAAACGTGCTTAACGCATCGGGATATTAGGAGGTTCATCATGGCCAGCAGCTACGTTAAACCGAAGGAGAAAACGCTGCAAAACCTACGAGATATTGCTAGTCGCCTTCGGATTCACTCTATTCGGGCAACTTGCGCTTCGAACTCCGGGTAATCGAAGAGAAGGGATGCGTTGCACTCTCTTTTCTGAGGGAGCTTGTGATATTCCCACCATTGTCCTGCGCCGGGGATTGTATTTTCTTTTTTGTTTCTTACATCTAAATGTGATAATGGGAACGTGTCCTGGTACAATATATTGCCATCCTCTCTTAGGTTCGCTTGCAGGGAGGGGGCAATGAAGGTTTTATTGGGTTCCAGTCTCAGAAGGGCTAACTAGCGGCTTCCATCAAATGAGATGATGAAGCCAAGAAATGTTCTTAATTAGTTTGCAGAAATCCATTAATTTGAATCGCTTTTTTCTAGGTCGGTTAATAGCTTTATTTGAAATTTATGGACTACTGTACTCTCATTAAACTAGTCTTCCTCAGCCTATGGGTGATGTTGTGAGGCCTATCTGTAGATTTTTTATTGCTTCTGGTGAACACAGAAGACACAGGAGTGTCTTTTAACTGAACATTATGCTCTGAATTGTAAATTCAATTCTAATAGTAATTTTGTATCTCTCTGTGGGTAGCTCCTATTCAATTTTTGTCTCTCTGCCTTTTGACCTTGCAGACACCCAACATCATGTTGCAGTGCCGCAGAGATCATGTCTGTGTTGTTCTTTCATACCATGCGCTACAGGCCAAATGAACCAGGCCACCCCAGCAATGACCGCTTTGTGCTCTCTAAGGTGACAGGAGTGCGAGGAGTATGGGGGAGGTGGTCTTTGGAGAAGGGGACTGGATTATAATGCTCAAGTAAGGCCACAGTTTATTTCTTCCTAGCTGAGAGTTCGACTCAGTTCTTTCTGCAGCACCACATCCAGAGTAATCGTCTTAAAAACTAGAGAGATTACAATTTCATGGTTGTGATGGCTACTTTGTTTGCCCCTCGCAGGGCCATGCTGCGCCTATACTCTATGCTGCATGGACAGAAGCTGGTTTTATCAAGGAGTCTGAGCTGTTAAATTTGAGGAAAATAGACTCTGACCTGGAAGGTCACCCAACGCCTGTAAGTACTTTTCTAAGAATAGTGCTGGGAATTTTGGGGAGCTTTGAAAAAAATAACTTGACCTATCCAGTCAAAATACATACATACATATATACGGATAGATAGATAGATAGATAGATAGATAGATAGATAGATAGATAGATAGATAGATAGATAAAACTTAGATGGTATAAAAAAATTTTAAATTAATTGTACAAGATCAGCTTTTTAGGATGTAACAATAGTACTGTTGCTTCTTTCATGAAGACATCTGGATCACTGATACAGAAGCTTAGCCCATAAAATTGGCTTTGTTCTACTGTGCAAACTAGTATTAAACATATGTATAACAAAACTGGAATTTTATGATAGAATTACAAACTGGAATATATTTTGTTGGAATACAAAGGCACTAAAATAAGGTGTGTATTTATATATTTATATTGGAAAAGATCCAGATTGTGTTTCTGTTCAGAAAAGATAGAGGACAAAGGACTAATTTCATAAAGACTGTATTGGTTGTATTGTATTGGTATTTATTCCGTTTGTAAAACTCTTTCTTTTTGCTTAACAGAGACTTCCTTTTGTGGATGTGGCCACTGGTTCCTTGGGGCAGGGCCTGGGAGCTGCCTGTGGAATGGCCTATACAGGGAAATACTTTGATAAAACAAGGTGAGAAATCTGGCAAAAGTCCACATAATGAAGCCTGTTGCTTCTTTCACAAGAAAAGTTTCTTGCTTCCTTTTTGTTTTTTGTTTGCTTTATTGCAAAGTTCACTTGATCAGAGAATGGCAAAGAATGTATGGTAAAAGAAACTTATCCTACATGCATGCATGCATACACACACACACTTGTTGGGACTCTTGTGTCTTGCTATCTTCTAGTTACCGAGTTTACTGCCTACTGGGTGATGGTGAATCCTCTGAGGGATCAGTATGGGAAGCCCTACAATTTGGGTCTCATTATCAATTGGATAATCTAGTGGCCATTATTGATGTGAACCGGCTGGGACAAAGTGAAGCAGCACCACTGGGCCATGATACAGATGTTTATCATAAACGTTGTGAAGCCTTTGGGTAAGCATTGCTGGCTGTTTTTGTTCTAATTCTGGTAGGAAGCCTGCTGCCTTTTGCCCCAACCTTTTCCTCTTCTGCTAGATGGAATACCTGTGTTGTGGATGGTCATGATGTGGATGAACTATGCCAGGCTTTATGGCAAGCAAGTCAACAGAAGGGGAAGCCCACCATGATTGTGGCCAAGACTTTCAAAGGACGGGGAATCCCAGGTGAAAGTAGTCTCTGAATCTTGGGAATGGGAACAGGTAATAAGAGTCCTTGAATGTCACTTACTAATGTTCTCTGTTTTAGATGTGGAGAATGCTGACAATTGGCATGGAAAGCCCATTCCAAAAGATAAAGTGGAATCTGTTATCTCTACCATTCAGAGTCAAATCCAGACTAATGATGTTCATACTATCCAGCCACCTGCTCAAGATGTGCCTCCAATCAATATCACGGATATCAAAATGCTTTCTTTTCCTACCTATAATAAAGGAGAAAAGGTACTGCATGGGCTAAGCAGATTTTTCTTTCAGTATTGCCAATTCTCTAACTACAATATTTTTCGGAGTATAAGACATACCTTTTCCCCCTAAAAGGGGGTGGAAAATTTAGGTGCGTCTTATACACCGAATGTAGCCCCACCCACCCACTGGCCCCCACCCTTTGGCCTCTGAGTCCCAGCAGTTTACTTCCTTGCAGCAAGCAGCAACAGCTCATTTCAGCTTCAGCACAGCCTAATTAGCACAAGTTGATTGGATAGGCCTCCTGACTCTCAGCTGTTTTGCGCAGGCCTCTGCTGCTTGCTGCAAGGAGGTAAATTGCTGGGAGCAGATTTTTTTTTTCTTGTGCTGATCAAGCTATGCTGAAAATGAAAATGAAAGTAAAGCAGGCTATTTGCTGTTTGCTGCAACGAGGCAAAATTGCTGGGAGGCAGAGGTAGATTTCTTTTTCTTGTTTTCCTCACCAAAAAAGGTAGGTGCATCTTATACTCCAAAAATGCTGTATTTTTCTTCTGTCCTTTTTGTGCCATGCATTTTTTTCAAAAGGTCTGTGTGACATGGATTTGATGCAGAACACTCACAAATTCCATATAATTTTTTTTCTCTCTGAATCCATAAGAAAGGACTAAAGAAGTCCATAAGAATGTTCTGTTCACCTTATTTATTTTTGACATTTTGATAACATGCATCTTCAGTATTAATTTGGACACTGAGCTGAAATGGACTTTTCTCTTTCTGTCACATTCCATTTTCCTAACCCTACCTCCTTTGAGATACCTTTCCTTTCGTCCTCAAATCCAGTTTGATAGTACCCCTTATCCAGTGGTGAAATCTAAAATTCGTTACTACCGGTTCTGTGGGCGTGGCTTGGTGGTGGGGTAATGTGACTGGGTGGGCATGGCCTTTTTTTTTTTTTTTTACTTTTAAAACCATTTTTTCTACAACCTCTTCGGTGAAGAGATTGTAAAAAAATGCTTTTAAAAGGCTCTGACGATCCAAGCTGAGTTGCCTGATCAGTAGAGGCTTTTTAAAAAACCTCTGCCAATCAGGCAACTCAGCTTGGATGGTCAGAGGCATTTAAAAGAAAAAAAACCCTTTTTTTCTTTTAAATGCCTCTGACCATCCAAGCTGAGTTCCAAGCTGAGTTAAAAAGCCTCTGCCATCAGGCAACTCAGCTTGGATTTTTTTCTTTTAAAAGGGATTTTTTCTTTTAAAAGCCTTTGATGATCCCAGCTGAGCCATGCGATCATCAGAGGTATTTTTTTTTACTTTTAAAAGCATTTTTTGGCCGAAGAGGTTGTAGAAAAAATGCTTTTAAAAGTAAAAAATAAAGCCTCTGATAATTGTGCGGCTCAGCTGGGCATGGGGTGGGCAGGGATTTTTGCTACCGGTTCTCCGAATCACCCGCCTCCATCGCTACAGGATCGGGCGATCCGGTCCGAACCGGGAGCATTTCACCCCTGCCCTTATCCCACAGAGAAACCCTGCAAAGGACCCACAATTGTATGTGAATTAAGTAAGCTTTATGCAAGACAATAAGCCTGTGCATGAGAATAAAAGGCAAATTAGTATATTAATTTGGAAAATGAAAGCGTAACTTAGATCAGGATTTGCATTCATTTTTGGAATAGGAACTACACTTAACCAGGGAACGCACACAAAATTAGTTGGAATAGATGGGATCTGGACAAAAATGAGCTTTAATTAAGTAAAAGTACTTTATTATTTTCCATGTTTGCAATAATTTCCTGCTTTTATGTAACGATTAAAAGGGTCAGTGCAGGAGATTCTAGAGGCATATCCAAATGTTTGAGGACTGCATGCAACTCTGAGCCTCAATTTAGACAATTTAGAAATACTGTATAAATTTTAATGCAAAATTTTAATCTCTCCTAGTACAGGAATTTAATATATAATGGCTGTATTCTAATGTCAATCCTCCACTGCTTTTCATGCAGTGACTTCTTGGAAGTTTTTTCTAGAAATGGAGTTTTTCCCAAGTTGTGTCTAGGCATATGATAAGAAGAATGAAGATGTTTATAGAAATGTAATATTTATCAAATGTGATTAGAATGTCCTTTTGACTTGGTGGTAAATTAAATGACCTGCAATGAGATTTTCTTTTTTTTTGTCAGGTGGCTACCCGCAAAGCCTATGGTTTAGCCCTGGTAAAACTGGGAAAGACTAACAAACATGTGGTTGTTTTGGATGGTGACACTAAAAACTCCACTTTTGCTGAGTTTTTCAAACAAGCCTATCCAGAACGCTATATAGAATGTTTCATTGCTGAGCAGAACATGGTGAGTCTGAAAAAATGAAATGGATTGGTGAATCTTGTGGCATGACCCGTTCCAATGACATTTTTTTGTGTGTGTGTATGTGCTCTAGGTAAGTGTCGCTCTGGGCTGTGCTGCTAGGAACCGCACCATTGCATTTGCCAGCACCTTTGCTGCCTTTTTCACTCGAGCATTTGACCATATCCGGATGGCTGCTATCTCCCAATCAAACATTAAGCTTTGTGGGTCACACAGTGGGGTTTCTATAGGTATGTTCTGCCTGATATCTAAACCCTTTTACTTTAATTACTATAATTAGACTTAAAGATTCTTGTTTCTCCAGCAGGGTGAGAACCATTACAAATTGTTCTTCCTGTTTATCATTACAGCAATCCTATACTATAACTTGACCCAAAGTCATTCAGTAAGCTTCTTGACTAAATGGGAATTTGAACATAAATCTTTATAGTCTTCTTGACTATGATGACCATGCTGATACTTTCCTGTTTATTTACATAGCCTGCAGTTGATCGAGATATTTAAAAACAGAACATTGTTATTAACTGAAGATGAAGAGTATGATATAGCAAGGAATCCTGACTTTTTCCCAGTTCATTTGGTTTTTCTTTCTTCCAGTGATCTTGGACAGTGATATTTGGGAATCAGCTGCTTGGGCAGAATGCTAAATTGTGAAAGAATGTTGGCTTTAGTAGTCCAAATACAACATAGTCATCCTAGGAAAAATCTACTTTTATGTTTATGCTAGCTGTACACTAGAAGTGAAGACTGGTTATTATTAATAATTCAATTTAATGATAATAGTTAAGTTTAATGTTAATAGTCTAATGTATAGGGAAAATAGAAATTGTTTAGATGGAGTGCTTGCAGAGTGTTTTGGGATTTCTGCTTTATTCTCTTTGCTGTTCATCTACTCAAAATACCAAATGCCTGAACTCAGCTAGCTCTACCTGAAAGAGAGATTTTGATTTGTAAATAATGTGATTAGCCTTTTGTCGTTTTCATAAAAAACTGAATTAAGCAATTGTATGCTAAATCTCAGTGGCCTAATATTGGGATAAGGTTGGGGTATTCATACTCTCAAATGCATGGTATAGTGTTTGAATGCATTCTTTTCTGTGACATGGCAAGTGATTTATTCAACTGCTTCTTCATCCCAGGAGAGGATGGGCCCTCTCAGATGGCTTTGGAAGATCTAGCCATGTTCAGAACTATTCCAGGTTGTACTGTGTTTTACCCAAGTGATGCAGTCTCCACTGAGTATGCTGTTTCTTTGGCAGCAAACACCAAGGTATGTGGATAAAGGAAATTATCTCAGGTATTGGTCTTGGCCTGTCAAGATTGAGGTATTATCATTAAATTAGGGAAGTAAATTGTGGTGTGCTAGAGTAAGAAGTCACAATTTGCAATAAAGCTTCTTGCTTATAGCATTTTCTTTTACCCTGGCCCTCATTTTCTTGCAGGCTATTTCATTTATTTATTTCAAGCTGTTTTACACCATTTGAAAACAAATCTAAGCATTTTAAAAAAGTTAAAAAATTTTTTTTAATTTGATTTATATGCCGCCCTTCTCCGGAGACTCAGGGTGGCTTACAATGCGCTAAGCAAAAATTCATAATAATACATCCAAGTAACAGCAGAGACATATTAAAACATTCAACAAATACATCCATATATCAGAAAACAAAAGTTGTAACAATTGTAAAACCTTATTAAGCATTAACTGCATACATTCTAGATACATACTTCACAGAATCTCTTAAATGGCCAGAATTTCACAAGGTGATTAAGGCTATAGCAACTTTTCCAAATCAATGTAGATTTGGAAATGTACCGGTTGGCATCCTAATGTTTTTGTCAATTTTATTTTTTATTTGAGATTATAATTAACACATATCTTTCGTGAATAGTTCCTTGGGGTATTCTGTATATTTCCAGTATGGTATCGTTCATTCTTTACTTGAATTATATATCATTCTGTGATATTTATTTATTTATTTAGCGTATGGCTGGTCACACACAATATTAAAACACTTCATTTTTACAGGTTAAAACAATTAAAACAATTTTAAAAAGCAGTAAGAAAACCTAAGAAGAAATCAGAAATAACATTTCAGAGTTTAATGTCGAGTTTAGAGATCCAGTCAGTAGCTGTCGTTGTTACGCAGAGGAAGTCCCTAAAATCTCCTGGATACTTTCTGTTAGAGCGTTCCCTCACTATATGTTGGATAGTCTGTCGGAGGCCTCGCAATCACATTGTGCTGAAGGTGTCTTTCCCCATTTATACAAGGAGTCGGCACACACCCCATGAGTCGTTCTAATTCTATTGTATGTCACCCATATGTGTTGGGGTAGATTAAATCCTGGAGGTATACTATTAGGATTAATATGCTCAGAAATATCTTGGGGGGAATAGCTACTCCACTCTTCCATTCACTTTTGTGTGGTGTTCGGATGATCAGCCAGTATCTTAAGCGCTGTCAAGAGTGGTGGGCTTTTTGACTTTAATCGGCATCTTAAGAGATCAGGAATGTAGCCATGAATGGGTAGAGAGGAATTTAACAAGATCTTACTATACTCCCGAATGAGAGCTTCTTGTCATCGTAAGTGCGGGGGGAAGTATGTGACTAAGAACTGGTAGCCAGTAACTAGGTGTAGATTTTATGCACCCAGTAATTAGCCTCATCGTATGGTTGAGTTGAACATCAATAAGTCCTGTATGTGAGCTGTTTATCCATACAGGTGCGCAGTATTCCGCTGCACAGTAGCAAAGCCCGAGGGTTGCACATCGAAGAGTTGGGGCTGAAGCTCCCCAAGTTGTCCCGCATAGTTTTTGTAGAATGTTATTTCTGCTGTTAACCTTGGCAGCCATATTCTGAATATGTTTTTTAAAAGACAGAGTCCTGTCTAAGGTGACCCTCAGATATTTTGGGGTTGCCTCATATGGGAGCAGTTTGTTGTTTAGGTATACATTGAGTTCTCTTTTGGCCAATTTGTTGTTAAGGTGAAAACATGATGTAACTGTTTTACTTACACTTGGGATTAACCTCCATTAGTGGAAGTATGTACTCAAAGTTGTAAGGTCGGCTGTAAGTACGCCTTTTGTAGCTTCGATGTCCTTGTGGCTTTATGCTAATGCCAGGTCATCAGCATAAGAGAACTTTGTTGATAGTGTGGATGGTATATTGGAAATATATAAGTTAAATAGAGATGGGGCCAGCACGGAGGCAAAGTTACTCGCATCCGTGGCAATCCTTAAGCCACACGTGCCTCCTGGGTGGTGCTAAATGAGTAACAGATGGACTGGTAGCTAGACATCTGCGAGGATCTCCTGGCTTCACACACAATCTCTCAGTCCTTTTAAAGACATTTTAAGTACCAAAAAAATAGCAGAAACAGCAGAAATAACAGAAATTCTGTGATAGCATTGCCCTAAAAAGTGGTTAAGATGCTTTGCATAAATTTAACATGTTTTATATTGCTGTGTTCTTTAGATAACATTTCAATACAATTATTTAAAACCATTCTATGTTCCATAATGTTTAATTTTGGTAAGATCTTTGTTTCTTCTTCTGAGTATTCATATTCTTCTTGCATATTGCTCCTTAGGGAATATGCTTCATTCGTACCAGTCGTCCAGAAACTCCTATCCTTTATTCTCAGGAAGAAAAGTTTGAGGTTGGCCATGCCAAGGTAAAGGATTTGAAACACATGATTTCTGGTTTTATTTCAGCTTTCAAAGATCCAAAGAAAGAACTCTGGTATTAGGCAATTTGGCCTATAATGGTAGTCGAACATTTAGTATTCCTTTGAATGGTGCCCTATACCATGAACTGAAATGTGCTGAGTAAGAATTATGGCATCCAAATATTTTTTTTCCCACATAGGTAGCTTGGCTTCAGATAAAATACAGAACACAGTCTTAAATTATTTAGAAATGTTATGAAATAATCAAAGAAGATTATATACAGAAGAGCGATCCTATTTCTAAAGCTAAACCTTTAACATAGACCAGTGTTGGCGAACCTTTTCAGCACCGAATGTTGAAACGGGAGTGTGTGCATGCATGCATGTGTGCTGGAAACTGGAAGACCAGGTGGCCAGCGTGCATGTGTGCGCCAGAAACAGCAAGATCATCTTCCTAGCGCGCGCATGCACACCGGGCAGCTGCTCTTCCAATTTCTGGCACTCCCATGTGCTTGAAGACCAGCTGGCCAGCACGCTGGAACCTGGAACAGAAACAGATGACGGCTTGTGTGCCTGGAGAGATGGCTCTGTGTGCCACTTTCGGCACGCGTGCCATAGGTTCGCCATCACTGACATAAACCATCCTTGGCTGCCTGGCCAATCAAGAGAATGTAGAAGTTATTGCATCAAGTACTGTAGTCTACCATTAGATGGCAGAAGACTGATACTATTCTGACAATAAGAATTTTTACTTATCCTAGCATCTATAGAGACTTTCAACAAATGAGAAATGAGTTGAGTTCCTGTTTTTCCTAGCTGTAGAGATAAATCCCTGGAATTTGGATTAAGATTTAGTTCAAACAAAGCAATATTAAAGAGACTGCATCCAGTTAGCAACTGTGTAAAGGAAGGCAGTTTAGTTGTCTTGGGTGGAAAAAGAAAGTTGATTTTTCAATATTTTCCATTGTTATCACAATTTTTTATCATCTTGTTGACTTCTAAGTTTCATTCATTTTGTGCATTTTGGATCAGAGATTAAGTCTAAACATTAAGGGCAAGTTGTCCTCCATATGCAGTGCACTTTCTCATAATTATTTAGAATCTGATCTTGAGAAAACAATTTCTTTTTGGATTGGATAATAGTCCTTTTTAGGGATTTCAATGTTGCTATATTGAAGTAGAAATAAACCTACTTAGTGAATCAGTTGTGAACCATCAGGCCTCTTTAGGTAACCTTTGATGATACGCATGGAGAATTCTTGGTAATGGCATTTGCAAGCAAATATATTAGGGAAGGTACATGTTAACAGTGGAGTTCTGTCTATACTTGTATTTTCTTCATACTTGCTTAGAATACATTAATTCTCAGATCTAAAATACTCCCGCTTCCCTTATTCTGTATGATTTTAGTTTAGTATGTTAGTAGGCTAGGCATCTTCTAAAAATGTTTATGTCTATTGATTACTTTTTATAGGTAGTTCGTATAAGTGATGCTGACAGAGTAGTTGTTATTGGAGCAGGTGTCACACTTCATGAAGCCCTTTCAGCTGCTGATGAACTAGCCAAACAAGGTACTGGACACTGAAGCATTGGAGATTATAAATCCAATTATATATCGACTTGATCAGCAATTTTAATAGAATTATCTTTCATTCTTCTCATTAGTATTTTGCTTTTTTCTAGGGATCTATATCCGGGTAATTGATCCATTTACAATCAAACCTTTGGATGCTGATACCATCATTTCCAATGCCAGAGCCACTGGGGGACATATCATTACAGTTGAGGATCATTACAAAGAAGTTAAGTAGTTACCTAAGAACATTTTTTCAGACATTGTTGAGAGAAATTGGATATGGCTAAAGATGCACTTGCCCAGATCCCCTATATTAGTAACTTTTTTTACAAACTAGTTTTGCTTCTGCTATTGCCAAGATTGATTATATGTTGTTGCTACCACTTTTTCATGTGCTGTTCAATAGTTTAGGAACACCTATCGCTGTGCTTTGTAGAGAAAAATTATACATTGGGAGTACAACCTACTATGGCCTATGAATGATTGCCTGATGGTCATTCAATTTCTGTTAAAACAAGTGTGGTAGCCTGTTTATATATGTGGGCTACCTGTGATGCTAGTTGGTGGGTCAGGGGCCATATATCCTTTTCCTCATGTTGAGATCCCCAGTGCAATATGCTTCCCTGTATCTCACCAAATAGCTAGTCAACAGGCTCTTATAAATGTGATATCACACTCTTCAGCTTTAGCAGTATATATTTCTCTCATATCATAAACAATAGAGGGCTACAATCAAGACATCAATTCAACAGCCTGCTTATCAGCCATTTGTCATATGCCTAAAGTGTCATTAAATACAAGAGCTCACCACACATTCTTTCTGCCCACCAAATGGTTGATTAGGAAACTGTCAAAAGTGAGACAGTAATTGGAATGGGACAACTTGCCATGGGACAATTCAACATGGGAGAACTCAGAAGAGGGACAAGTAGAATTGTAGCTCATCCCAGCCTTGAGGACTACTGACTTGAGAAGGGTCAAACCTAAAGTAAGACAAAGCCTGCTGCAATTCACTTGTGCCTCTCTTGAGTTCTCCCACTTTGAATTGTCTTGTGGCAAATCAGCTGGAGCAAGATGGCTGGGGCATATTGGCCACAGTGAGTTGTCCTAGTATATATTGGATACCGGTAAATAATATTTGTAGACTATACTGGAGCCTTTTGGATTTTAGAAAGGCGGTAATTTTTCCTTCTTGTGATTTAATATGAAACTGTAGATCTCTTTAACATATGAATTATCTGAACCCTATGAAGTCAAGTTGAGCTTAATTAATTGGCATTCATGCTGTTTAAGCTTGTAGCTTTCTCCTATAGAAAGAAGCACAATCTCAACTGCTCTATAAAAGAAGCTACTGTGTTTCTGTGCTTTTATTTGTTCATAGAATGCAAGACAATGCATGGGTAAAAGAGCTTCTATACAGTGGAAAGAAAAATTGATGCTTTTCTTTGAACTCTCGGAACCAAACAAGAAAATAAGCACATCTTTATAAACTCCCTAAGTTTTAATATTTCTTGCAATTCTGTTTCTCTGAATTTCTCTGAATGAGAAAGACAAAAGGTAGATATCTGACTGCTGCTAAAATACGCAAACCTATTTCTTGATGAGCTTAATTGATAAAGGGAAGTGCATATGTAACTTTGTAACTTTGAGTTACATACGAAGTACATGTACTTTGTAACTCAAACTTTCATATGAAGTTGTTAAAGGGAGCAGATTGCACCAAACATGCTCTGAGTGAAAATCTCCATTTATGACCATCTTTTTCCTTCTCTCTCTAGGTGGTATTGGTGAAGCTGTAGCTGCAGCTGTCTCCGGAGAACCTGGTATTTTAGTCCAGAGTCTAGCTGTGTCAGGTGTGCCTCGGAGTGGAAAACCTGCTGAGCTCTTAGATCTCTTTGGGATCAGTGCAAAACACATAGTAACAGCTGTGAAGAGCACCTTTGCCAATTGATTTGACAGGGATGAAGGAAAGAAGAGTTATGAAATTATGAAAACAGATTCTGAAGAACAGAGTGACAACTGTTTGGTTTTCTAGGTAGTCAACCAAAAGTAACCCCTTATGAATCCAAAACATGCATTGTTTAACTTTTAAACTTTTAACAATTGCAATTAATATTAATTTCCTGGATTTTGGACCAGATTTTGAGTGCAAATAAGCTTAAATTGTTTTGTAACACAGTTCTCATCCCATCAGTATGTCATTCCTTCTAATTTTTATCTGTAATTACACATTAATTGGATCTGACTGTTCTACATGGACCAGTAATGCTCATCTTATTGGAGTTTATGGTTACCTTTTCGTGTGCTTGATTCCTATCCTACTTGACTTTCTCCTTTTCAGCCTGACATTCCAAAATTGAGTTGGGTAGATTTTCCATGGGCTATTTCCTGCCTGAAAGAGTTCATGCATAATTAGTTTTTAATTTAACAAAAATGCAAGTACCTCTTATGGGAATGTGATCGTCTAAATTCTTCAAATATATATTAATAATGGTATTGTCTTAAGATATCTGATGTAATTATTAAGTATGGAGTGGTTCCAAGGAGATGCAGGCTTAAGTCCAGCTTCCTCTACAGCAGCTCACAGTGATTTGGGTCCATTCATACTCTCTCAACCCAACCTACCTCACAAGTTGTGGGGAAAATGGAAACAGGAAGCTGCTTATGTGCTGCTATGAGTTCCTGAAGGAAAGGAGGATATAAGCTTAACAAATAAGCAGACTTAAATGTGACCAAAATAATGTTTCTGTATTACATGTGCTTTTACTGTCATTAAGGAAATCAATAAACTATCATTTCTTGTGGATGATTTGCATTCATATTGGAAATACTTGTGTGAAATATTGGTGTGTATTTACACATACTTGGATAAGTATGTGTAAATACATAAACATACTGCCACCGGTGGTGGGATAGCCTCCCACCGATAGCCTCCCACTGGCCAGTACGCTCCCACAGAGAGGGACTCCTCAGGGTGCCGTCGGGCAGACAATGTCGGCTGGCGACCCCCAGGGGGAGGGCCTTCTCTGTGGCAGCACCTGCCTTCTGGAATGACCTGCCCCTGGAGATATGTAGGATCCCAGATCTCCGTGCTTTTCGCCGTGCCCTTAAAACTTTTTTATTTCATCAAGCCGGGCTGGCTTAACCCCTCCCCCCTTAGATATTTTTAATTTTTAATTGATTTTAGTTGGAGTGTTTTAAATTTATTGGGCCAAAATTTGTTTAATTCTTTTTATAAAATTTTTTAAATTTTGTATGCAATGTTTTTAGTCTTGGCTGTTCACCTCCCTGAGTCCAGTGGGAGAAGGGCGGTATAAAAATCTAATAAAATAAAATAAATAAATAAATGTGTGAAATAGTGTGCAATAGTCTTTAAGACTGAGTAATATTTTACATGCAAAATTATTACATTTTTAAATGTTTCCTTTCTCCCTAATAGGAGCCTCATATTTCAGTCCAGCTTTCTAAAACCTTTAGAATTTGTTCTAAAACAAATGTATACATTGTTTCCATTTGACTTCCTCAAATGGGAACAGCAAACAAATGATGCAAACTCATCATTTTCTGAACTTCTGATTACTGCTATTAGTGGACTAGCAGCTAAAACTCTTCAGTTGAATACATTGCATTGAATGAAAATATTGAGGAATATACAAAGCACAGTAGCTCATGGTATTTACATTACTCAATTTTCTGGGTCAGAAAATTCTGGGCCATCACAAACTGAACTATAAACTAACCATGTAGCTTGGAAATACAAAGATAAATTGTGGTTGTATAGACTATTTGTGATACAATCTGTGTACCTCACAGGGCAGAAACCATTAACCAATTTTGCATGATAAAACACATCAATTTACAAATTATACAAGTGGAGCCATGTCTGGTTATTATATTATGGATAATAAATGCTTATATCATAAACCTGTCTTTCTATAGGCCCTTTTTTATTTTGTATACTATATGTGTTGTATTGATGCTGTGACTGTTAAAGGATATGGTGCTCTTAAAATGTTAAACTACTGGAGACCTACTACGTGATGCAGAGTACTACATATTTAATATTCTGGTCTGATGCAAATCTGCTAGGATAAAATGCTGGGTAGTTTGTGGTTTTGAATGTTGTGCTAATTCATCCACTAGCTTACACTCTGCAAAGTCAAGCAATTAGGCTAGTAAACAATTCTGTTGTGAGTACACTCTCAAAACATACACTTACTGTTATGTATTTATATTCTTTATATTTGCGAGTGGGCAATTAATATTTCCTTTCTCCCTAACTATCCAATTTGTGAAAACTAATTTAAGTAAAGGGATGTTTAATTAGGAGAGCAAGGGAAAGATCTTGTTTCACAGGATAGCACTTTTTCAAAATAGGAACGTATAATAGTTTATAATCCTTTGTACTGTATATGCTTTTGAGTGGTTTTATAGTTCTCTACTTAGAGCAGTGGTCCACAAGAAAATTTTGGTGGTCTGCAGAAAAATTATTTGCATTTTTAATGTTGTACTAAATGCTATTTATCTTTTTAAAAAATACACGTTAGTGGTCCACGGGATTTAAAATTATGAATTTTGTGGTCCCTGAGGTCCGAAAGGTTGGTACCCCGATTTAGAGGGATTTCTATGAAAAAGAACGTTAATTACAAAAAAAGGCATACAAGATCAAAAACTGGAAATTTCAATTAAAACTCTAAATATGCGCTTTGATCCCAGACAAGTTTACAGAAAGTAAACATCTTCACCATCTGGAAAACTTTAAAATGCCTTCCCCGCAACACACTACAACCCATCTACTACAACTAGGCTGCTTTTCTCTCTAGGGGGAGAGTCGTCACCACTCCTCACCTCACTCAAATTTTGCAGGACAGAGCACAAGTAAGCTTTCACTAAAATCTCTTGCAGAAGTTAATCTGTTAGAGGTAGAGTCTTATTGGATAACGAAACTGTCAGTCATTTGCGAACCGTTAGAAAAAAAACCGCGAGGCAGGAGAGAGGTGGGATAACAGTTTTTCCAACCGATAACTGAAAGGTGGGACCTATTGGTGGAACCCTTTAGGGGTTCAGCCAAACAGAAAGCAGGAGGGGCGGGATTTCAGAATCTGTAACGATTTCTTAACCTATTAGATGAGAAAACGGTCAGTCTGTTAAAAAAAAAAAAAATCCTGTCCAATTAGAGCTGCCCCGAGTGTCGTAGACCAATCAAAGTCTCGCTTCTCACTCTATATGTCGTACAACGGACAGCAGAGTGTTTCGTTTAGGCGCGCGAGGAATTTCAAACGTGCGGGGAGGGGGAAGGAGCGGGGTTTATAAAGAGAAGGGGGCGGGGTCGGATGAAAGTGAGCCGCATATTTTATTGGCGGCGGCTGGTGGGGCTAGTCGCCGGACGCCAAAAGCGCGAACGCGTTTGATCCGTAGACTTTGGAGGAGAAGGAAGCTCTGTGGCTTAAACACGCCCGAGTGGACGGTTGCTCTGTTTGTGCCGAAAAAACAGAATTGAGCCCAGATAGTTTTTCGGAAATTCCCTTCCCGCTCAATGGGCTGTTACTATTGGCGAAGGCGAACCCCGCCCCTTTTCTGAAAAGAAAGGTGAGAGAAGTTTTGGCGTGGCGGCTGCTGGGTGGGGCGGGCCGGCGGGAGCGGGAAAGACCGTCCATTCGGGTTGACGGGAGTCGCCTTCCGCAGCAACAATCACGTTACTCATAATTGTCAGCGTTTATCCGGAGGGTGTTAGGCTGCGGGGGCGGAGTGGAGGGGAAGCTGAATCAGGCACGCGTAGCCTTGCAAAAGCAAATAAATAAATAAATAAACTCAAAAAAAACCACCACCCAAATCCCGTACAACTTGAAAGGACTTTGGCTTGAATGGAGAATTCTGTGACGGAGTTGACGGTGCATTGGGTTATAGTTTGGGATTTACAACGTTTTAGAGTTTTGTTCGAAAACCTCTTTCAAGCAAGTCTTGTGTTTTGCGTTCCGGTGAAATGAGAGGACTCCGGGCACTTTTTAAAACCAGCGAGCAAATTCTGCTATGTGAAAGCCCACTATATATTAACAGCGGGAAAAGGAGTCTTGGGAGCTTCACCACTGGAAGCTTTCAAGAAGAGACTGGACTGCCATCTGTCAGAAATAGTGTAGGGTCTCCTGCTTGGGCGAGGGTTGGACTAGATGACCTACAAGGCCCCTTCCAACTCTCTTATTCTGGAGTCATCTAGTCCAACCCCACCCCCTCCTCCCTTATTGCAGAAATCTGCACTCCAGCGTGAATGCTTCTCTTAGTTATGTTGTAGGGAATGTGAGGCAGCATTCTTCAGTATCATATAATGGTGCAACCATTGTTGATTGTTCAAACTTACTAAGACTTCGTTATTTTAACAACTATGGCTTATCACATGTTTTTGGTGAAATGGGTATACGGAAGATTCAAGCAGAAGATACGGGCAGGCTGTTCTGGCTTCAGCTATTTTTTTGTATTTGTTATGAAAAGCTATTATATCGAGTTTGCCAGGTACTGCCTTGTTCCAGTCGTTCTACTGCTGTTATGGTCTGTTTGCTTCAGATATTCAGTTCTTGACTACAGTAGGTTTCCCTACATAGCAAACGTAGGTCATGGCTATGTTAGCTCATATTATTTTCATCCCCAAGCGCATGCACACACCCCACTGTCCATCATTAGCTTTTGGGAAAAGTTTAGGCTGACATTATGCTAGCTAGGAATGATCCATTGGGAGGAAATGCTGTGCATCGGGAGTATTTTCACATCTGAGACCATTTCCTGACATTTTGAATTGCTACAGTCTAGTTCTGCCATCTGTAAACGATAGGCCTTTGCCTACATAACACTGTGTTGCACTTAATCTTCAGATACAATACATTTTTGTTCTTTTTCCGGTGGACTGACTGGAAAAGGAAGTAATACTCATTTGCCTCTGAAAGCAGAAATCTTTTTTAGACATTCTAAAAATGAAGCAATACTGTAACTTATTTCCCTATGGCTAGTTCTTAGCTAACAGTTTGGCAACACAGTTGCTTTTCAGGAGGCCATGAATTGTAGAAGATTTTGGCCTTCCCCTCCTTTAATAAGGAGCTCCTCACCCATTTCTGAAATGGTAGAAAACTTTTACTGTAACAAGCTACTTGTTCCCAGTGACAATTTCTTAGGCTTCTTCAGGAGATGCTAAAACTAGAAGCAGGATTAGGTAAGTGGGTTGTTGTTGTTAGGAAAAGCTAATGAAGTTGTTCCCAAGGAATTCCCAAGGGATAACAGCAATTGTTATCTATCACAGGCAAGCTGGGTTTACAGATAATCTCAATTTATGACCACAATTGGGACCAGAATTTCCTTTACTATGCAAGGTGGCTCTTAACTGAGTCATGCCCAATTTCGTGAGTTTTTGCTACAGTTATTAAGTGAATCTGCAGTCAAGATAATTAGGTAGTTATTAAACAAATCCAGCTTCCCCTATTGACTTTGCTTGTTGGAAGCCAGCTGAGAAGGTTGCAAATGGTAGTCACATAACTTGAGTTCATAAATATGTGCCTGTCGCCAAGTGCTTGAATTTTGAGTATGTGATCATGGGGATACTATGACTATGAGGGTGCTACAACTGTCATAAGTGTGAGGACTTGGTTGTTTTCACTGTTTTCAGTGCCATTGTAATTTTGAACAGTCACTAAATGATTAATTGTAGATCAAGGACAACCACTATAGTGAAATCAAGGCTCAGATTCTTGCACTTTTTTTTCTGCAGTGCAACCAACCTGAACATTTTCGTTTGGGGGACTGGAGAAGCAGTTTATACCTGCTGCTTGTTGTGGTAGGGGAATTATCTGGATTCAGACTGTTTATTTTTGACATTGTCATAATTAATTTTTACACAATACTGTTGTGTCTCTATTGTGTCTGATTTGACTTGCTGATTACTGATGTCCAGATTTTGCATGTGCAGAGCACGTTAAACAAAGTTATTGGTTATACCTCAGCTTTTATTGTCCTCACATGTACTGTACATCACTGTACATTGTAGTAAACATTCTCCAATCCTGTCATCCAATCAGGACAGGAATTGAGTTTGTGAGGGAGATACTTTGATAGCTGGCTATTGGGCTGTGGACAGCTGCCGAGTGCAATAGTGCCAGCCACACTGCTTGGATCTTTCTGTGGGAGAAAAAAGCATGGCAGCAGAAAAGATGTTGAGCATATCAAGTTAGATGCAAGCAGAGAAAGGTCACAGGTTCTCTGTTCCAGAGCCTTCATCTCTGGCTCTTGGCACACTTACCACTTGCTTCAGTTCCTATCCCTGGATAATTTAGTTTCTTTCATATTCTTGGAGCTAAAAACGGGCCTGGTGGCTCAGCAGACTGATAGCATTGTGATTAACACCAGCTGTCTGCAATTACTGTAAGTTCGAATCTCACCAGGCTCAAGATTGACTCAGCCTTCCATCCTTTCTAAGGTAGGTAAATTGAAGACCCAGTTTGTGGGGGCAATAAGCTGACTTTGTATAAATATACAAAAGTATGAAGGCTATTACTTAATGCATTGTAAGCCGCCCTGAATCTCCGGAGAAGGGCGGCATATAAATCAATTTTTTAAAAAAAATAATAATAATTGGTTCAGGCTGGAGGTGGGGGGTAGAGGTGCAGCAAAGTTTTTCCTAATCTGCTTGCTTTTTCAACTTGGTCGATGTCCTATGTATATTTATCCTCTTGCCCTAGATACCGTATGTACTTTTAAGAGTTGCATTCCTAGATGGAAAAACAAACTAATGGACTGATACTTTTTCCACCTGGTAATGTGTTTGCAATTCATTTATTTAACTTAGTCTAATTCTTTATTATGTCTTATTTATGCAATTCTTTGGACTAATACAGTTTAGTTGCTGCTACTATCTTTTCCCCCTAAGTCAGTGTGTGTGTGTGTGTAATTGTTAATTCCCATAATGCAGTTTTTGGCGGGAAAGCCTTAGCTTGACTTTCATCAAGGTTGGGTCCCCATAATGATTATTACCTCTGGAGAAAAATTATCTTTTGTGTGTTAAGATAAGCAACTTTCCATTATTTATTTATTTATTTTATTTTATTTTATTGAATTTCTATACCGCCCTACTCCCGAAGGACTCAGGGCGGTGCACAGCCATGAAATAAAACACATAGATATACAAAATTTAAAATCGAATAAAATGAATTAAATAAATTTGGCTGAATTAATACCCATAATTTAAAATACCCCTATTTTAAAATACATTAAAAATTTAAAATTTACACTTAAAAGGGAGAAGATTTAGGCGAGGCCAGCTTGATGAAATAAAAGCGTCTTCAGCTCGCGGCGGAAGGTGCGCAGATCCGGAATCCTCCGTATCTCTGGGGGGAGCTCATTCCAGATCGTCGGTGCCCCCACAGAGAAGGCTCTCCCCCTAGGGGGCCAACAGCCGACATTGTTTGGCCGACGGCACCTGGAGGAGCCCCTCTCTGTGGGAGCGTACTGGTCGGTGGGAGGCTGTTGATGGTAGTAGGCGGTCCCGTAAGTAACCAGGTCCTAAGCCATGGAGCGCTTTAAAGGTGGTAACCAGAACCTTGAAGTGCACCCGGAAGACCACTGGGAGCCAGTGCAGCTCGCGCAGGAGAGGTGTTACATGGGAGCTCCATGTTGCTCCCATAACCACCCGCGCGGCCGCACTCTGCGCCAGTTGGAGCCTCCGGGTGCACCTCAAGGGGAGCCCCATGTAGAGAGCATTACAATAGTTCAGACGAGAGGTGACGAGGGCATGAGTGACTGTGTGTAACGAGTCCCGATCTAGAAAGGGACGCAACTGGCGAATCAGGCGAACCTGATGAAAAATCCTCCCGGTCACGGCCGTCAAGTGCTCTTCTAAAGACAGCCGTGAGTCCAGGAGGACGCCCAAGTTACGAGCCCTTTCCGTGGGGGCCAATGATTCGCCCCCAATAGCCAGCAATGGTGCCAGCTGACTATATCGGGACGTCAGAAACCACAGCCACTCGGTCTTGGATGGGTTGAGCCTGAGCCCGTTTCTCCCCATCCAGATCCGTACGGCCTCCAGGCACTGGGACATCACTTCAAGGGCATCGTTGGGGTGGTCCGGGGTGGAGATGTACAGCTGGGTGTCGTCAGCGTACAGATGGTACTTCACCCCGAAACCACGGATGATCTCGCCCAGCGGCTTTACATAAATGTTGAACAGATAGGTTCAGGTTAAAGTTAAATCTTAAATTTAAGTCATAAATTTATGTCTAATTTATGTATGCTGTGGGTTAATTTCTTAGGTTTGAGCATATTTTTGTGTAGGTCCTGTCAAAATCAAATGCACTTACTATATGTGTAACATCATTTTTAATTCTCATTAAGTCAATAGTTGTTAGAAGTTTAGAAATCAAAAAGCCTGAATTAAGCAGTAGAATAAACACTAAACAGAGAAATCAGATTGGAGAAATGCTGTGGATATAATTTACTTGGACTTCATTTGATAAAGTAGACTACAACCTACTATTTGATAAGATAGAAAAATGTGGGATAGACAGCATCACCACCAGATGGATTTGTTATTGGCTGACCATTTGCACTCAACGTGGAACTGCATCTACATGGAGGGAAGTATGCAGTGGGGTACCCAAAGTTCTGTCTTAGGCCCAGTACTCTTCAATATCTTCAACAATGATTTAGTCAAAGGGATAGAATGAACAACATCAAGCTGGCAGGAATAGCCAATATTTCAAAAGATAGGCTTAAGATCCAGATGAATCTTAACAGACTTGAATACTATGTAACAAAATGAAATCCAATGGTGAGAAAGGTGAGGTTTTACACTTAGGTCTTGCCCCATTTTACAACCTTTTTTGCTCAATTGTTAAGTGAATCACTGCCATTAAGGGAATCTGGCTTTTTTCATTGACTTTGCTTGTCAGAAGCCAGCTGGGAAGGTTATATATGGTGATCACATGACCCCAGGACAATCATAAGTTGCAAAGTGTGTGGATTTTAATCATGTGACCATGGGGATGCTGCAATGGTCATAAGTGAAAAGTGGTCGTAAGTCACTTTGTTCATTGCTGTTGTAACTTCGAACAGTCACTAAATGAATGATTTTAAGTGGAGGACTACCTGTAATTGCACAACCTTAGTAATTATCTGTTAATAGATAATGAACATCTTTGTTTTAAATAAAAGGATTACAATAAGACTAAAAATAATAAAACAAACACAAAGTATTATTTTACTTAAGAGGAAAATGAATATATATTTCTATCTGTATATGATGCATTGTAAAAAAAAACCTAACTGAAAACAGAAAAACAAAAAAGCAATAATATTATAAGTAAAGAAACTTGTGTAGATTAGAAAAAGTAAGTCAGGGAACATGATATTTCTCTTTCAGGAAGTATATTTTCTCTTCCTTTAACCCTTGCAGCAGCCTTGTGAGAGAAGTTAGCTTGAGTGTGTGTAATCAAAACAAAGTTTCCTAGAAATACTTGAATTTGGCTACCCAGTCTTAATGTGAAATACATCCATTAAAGAATGACTTTTATATTTTTTAATCAAGAACATTAAGAAATAAATAATTGCATTTGTGCCTACTTCTGCTTTTCTGCCTGCAGTTTTAACTTTGCTGAGGAAGAAGAGGAGAAGCTTTGTGTGCAAGTTTGCATATTTTCCATGTATACAGACAGACTATGGATGCTGGTCCCATGTCTTTAGTTGCTTCTTTATTTCATATTGAATTCGAAGCTGCACTAATTAGATTACATTGTGTTCCACAAATCAGGTTTCTAAGATATAGTTTTATAAAACTTCAAAATAATCGACTCTTAACATCTCTGAAAGTTCAAATGACAAGCATTCAGTATTGTTGTCTAGTTGCAGTGTCTTAGGATGCTCCACAGAATAGGAGTGCTCAAGGAAACATTCTCAATGAATATGCAATAGCTTATTTTTCCAGAAGTCCTTCAAGGATAGAAGCAGTGTAGGATACATGTTAACTTGCATATCTTTTAAGGGCAGTCTTGTCTATCGTTTAATCTGGCTCCTTTTTGCCATTAATTCTTAACATTTGAAAGTCCTGGAGGAACAGATAGTGCTAGTAGAAGTTAAAGTTCATGTTGTATTTATCTCAGATGTAGGTGTAGCCATGAGCACAACTTGGCGTAGCAGCTATTGCTGTATTATTGTTATTTTTTAAAATATTTCATTTGTTTATCATATATGCCACCCATCTCATAGAAAAATGACTCAGCTGCATACAATAAAGCCATTAAAGACAGTAATTATAAAAACACACTACAATTAAAACTTTATTATAAAAAGGAAGGAATACGGAGCCAAGGACTCCACCTAACATTTATTGAAATGGCAAAGTACTTCAAAATGGGAGGCTTGCATCATAAAGTGGATAAGAATGGATGAAGGACTAAATAGGACTATTTTTGGACATGTTATGGATTTTCCCCCAACTACTGCTCTCTTGGTGTTCACAAATCATGGCAATAATGGTTCTCACCACTGGACTGCAAGTTGCCCTCCTTGGGCTATATAATAAGTGCATTAGTCTTACATGGAAAACTGGTCACTTAACTCTAAGGTTGACTAGGTTAGAACTATAAACACTATAAATCTGGTTTGGGCTGTATAGGGATCATATGCTTGAAATTAAAGGGAATTGTTTATGCTGACTACTGGCTATCTCCTTCATTCTATCTAACTTGTATTTATTATTTCTAATCTCCTACCACATTTTCATTTATCATTAGGTATAGCATGTCAGAAACTCTCATGGACCAGGATTCTACAAAGCTGCAAGCAGAGGTGGAGCGTCTAGCAGCTGAGCTGCAGGAGGCAATCCAAGAGAATGTCCAGGCAGCCCAGTATGGGCTAGCTGTGCTGGAGGAGAATGAGGAGCTCAAGCAGCGCTGTGGAGATCTGGAAGGTCAACTAGAGGTCTTACGTGTAGAATTGGCCTGCATGAAGGAGGTACATATACCTATACACTTAGTGAACAATTTCCCTGCTCTGCCTTGAACTTTTAATATGACCTAGGCTGGGCAGTGAGGATGCTGTTTCTTACAATGTCTTCCATCTTCTTTTTTGCCTTAGGCTTTGGCAGAATCTCACAGCAGCCATAAACGAGCAGCAGTTGATGGGGAGAACCGGGAAGAGTCTCTACTCAGGGAATCGGCTTCCAAAGAAGCCCATCTGACTCAAACCATTGAGGAGTTCCAAAGTGAAGTGAAATTCCTGAAATCCCAGCTTGACAATACAGGGGTGGAAAATGAGCGGCTCAATATAGCTCTGCGAGACTTAAGGAAGGTAATTTGGGCAAGGCCTGATTAAGGAGGGATATGCTTAGAAGTCTCAGAATAAAGTAAATCATATAAAGTTAAGTGCATTCATATTAAGCAAATGACTATGTTCTGATACTCTTAGCCAAGAAGGAAAAAATTGAAATATGGACACAAGTTTGAAAGTATTATAGCTGAGGATCTCATTACTGCACAGCTGGTTCTGTTTTTATTTGTCTTGAAATTTGACCAGTTACTGTCCAAGTGCTTTAGAATTTCTGCTGCCATAAGACTTGGATAGTCTACTTTTCATTTTTAAACTGGACCTTAATTGCTCCATTTGGGTTTCCAGGATTTATAAATATACTAGTGTAATGTCCTGTTCATTTAGGAAAAAGTGATGAAACCATCTCTCTCCGCTCCTTTTCAGACTTAAAACTGGGGAACAGTGTGGGAGAAATAATTCAAGCATTTAAATTTTCACTTGAGAGATTCTCTTAAGAACAGAAAAAAATGTAATAACAATTTTCCTACAGAAAACACCTCTGGAAGGAGGCCATGTTAATTTAGTCTCATATCGCAAGAATCTGAAATATATTTTATCCATACAATTGTACTGTGGTTTCCATCTGCATGATTCAAAGTAGCGGTGGGTGGTGGTTCTGGAGATACTTCTGGTGTCTCAAAAGTGCGATGCAGCAGACTATTTCTGGCCCTTTTTCAGTCTTGGAGCTGGAGTTAGTTCTGGGTTCAGTGCAGCATTTCTGAGACACTCAAAAGGTCTGTGTAGCCACAAGTTGGAGATAAGCATTTGGCTTTCTGTTGGGAAATTAATATTCATGTGTCTACTTACCGTATTTTTTGGAGTATAAGACACTCCAGACTATAAGACGCCCCTACCTTTTTGGGGGAGGAAAACAATAAAAAAAAAATCTGCCTCTGCTTCTCAGCAATTTGCCTCCGTGCAGCAAAACAGCAAACAGCCCGTTTCAGTTTCAGCACAGTCTGATTAGCACAAGCAGCTGATTGTCTGTTGGATTGGCCTCCCGAGGATCAGCTGTTTCAGGCTGCAGGGATTGCCATAGCTTATTGTCACCTCTGTTTTCAGCCTCTGCGCGCCCCATTCTCTGCTTGTTCCGGGCAGCGGGGATCAGAATGGGGTGGGGGGAATGTGTCTTATACTCTGAAAAATACAGTAATTCTTTCTTGAGAGTTAATTCAGCAATAACTCTATTCTGGGAACTGGGGGAGTGGGTTACTTTTCCAATCATGTTAGCCTATGCTCCTTCTGTTCCATCCCTTAGGGAATAATGCTTTTTGCCCCTTTTCAGAGACCAATCAAATATGCTAGTGTATTTGCTGTTTGTATTCCTTTCTTTTGCATGCTTCTCTTATAAAGAACAAGACTTCCCAGTGCTAGGTTATGTATAATTAGGTCCAGTTTAGAATGCTGAATTTATTTTTAAGGGAAGCTTTTTATTCTACGTAAATGAATAGCAATGTTGTTGGTTTGCGCTCCAGGCTTGGTGATTTGGTTGCAAACGTTTCATCCCCATTTGAGGAGACATCTTCAGTGCATTTAGGATTGTGCTTGTCTGGGAGAGCACTGGCCTTTAAGTACCTTTCTGAGTCTGATTTCAGGTTGTGTGATTGGCTGTCTGTAGTTGTTGAGTCATAGTCCTTGGATTTAGGTACCGTTTGTGTGATGTAAATTAGTACTGGTGTTGTTGTTCGGATGTCTTCTGATGATGTCATGGTCTGGTTTCGGGTTGATTTGATCGGCTGCGTGTGATGTGGTCTGATTTCTTGTGATCTGTTGAGTTATAACTTTGTTTGCAGTATGGTTCTTCGTTGGTCTTTAAATGCTGCTTTTGTTGTGACCCAGCCCACATAGTTAATATTAAATGCAAAACAGTTCCAAAAAACAAACAGATTTTATTAAAACGGCTCAGAATTAACTCATTCTCATCTTATTCGAAATTAAATGAAAGCAAAGTTCTCAAAACACCTTCAGTTTATTATTATTATTATTATTATTATTTATTGAATTTATATCCCGCCCTTCTCCCCGAAGGGACTCAGGGCAGTGAACAGCCGAAAATTAAAATAACATACAATATAAAAGTTAAGATAACTAAAAATAAATTAACTTAATCGGCCTCCCAATTTAAAACCCCAAGCTATACAATTAAAAAACTAACCCATAAAACCTATTCAGGCCAGGCCGGCTTGCTGAAATAAAAACGTCTTCAGGGCCTTATGGAAAGTGCGGAGATCCGGGATCAGCCGTATTCCGGGAGGTAGCTCGTTCCAGAGGGCGGGTGCTCCCACAGAGAAGGCTCTCCCCCTGGGGGCCGCCAGCTGACATTGCTTGACCAACGGCACCCTGAGGAGACTCCCTCTGTGAGAGCGTATTGGCCGGTGGGAGGTTATCGGTAGCAGAAGGCGTCTCGTAAATACCCTGGCCCTAAGCCATGGAGCGCTTTAATGGTGAGAACCAACACCTTGAAGCGCATCTGGAAGACCACCAGGAGCCAGTGCAGCTCGCGCAGGAGAGGTGTTGTATGGGAGCGCCATGTCGCTCCCATAATCACCCACACGGCCGCATTCTGGACCAGTTGGAGCCTCCGGGTGCTCCTCAAGGGGAGCCCCATGTAGAGAGCAGAGCGTTGCAGTAGTCCAGGCGAGAAGTGACAAGAGCATGAGTGACTGTGCATAAGGAATCCCGACTCAGAAAGGGGCACAACTGGCGTATCAGGCAAACCTGATAAAAAGCCCCCCTGGCCATGGCCGTCATGTGCTCTTCTAAAGACAGCCGTGTGTCCAGGAGGACGCCCAAGTTGCGAACCCCCTCTGTGGGGGTCAATGACTCGCCCCCAATAGCCAGCGATGGCACCAGCTGGCTATATCGGGATGCCGGCATCCACAGCCACTCGGTCTTGGAAGGGTTGAGTCGAAGCCTGTTCCTCCCCATCCAAACCCGCATGGCCTCCAGACACTGGGACATCACTTCAAGGCCATCGTTGGGGTGGTTTGGGGTGGAGATGTACAGCTGAGTGTCATCAGCGTACAGATGGCACCGCACCCCAAATCCACGGATGATCTCACCCAGCGGCTTCACATAAATGTTGAACAGGAGTGGCGAGAGGACCGACCCTTGTGGCACCCCACAAACAAGGCACCTCGAGGTTGACCTCTGCCCCCCTGCCAACACAGACTGCGACCAGTCGGAGAGATAGGAGGAGAACCACCGCAACACGGTGCCTCCCACCCCCAATCCCTCCAGCCGGTGCAGCATGATACCATGGTCGATGGTATCAAAAGCTGCTGAGAGATCTAATAGGACCAGAACAGAGGAGCAACCCCTGTCCCGAGCCCTCCAGAGATCATCAACCAACGCGACCAATGCCGTTTCCATGCTGTACCGAGGCCTGAAGCCGGACTGGCACAGGTCTAGATAGACGGTTTCATCCAGGTACTGCGGGAGCTGTTGCGCAACCACACTCTCAACAACCTTTGCAATAAAGCGAAGGTTGGAGACAGGACGGTAGTTAACCATAACAGCCGGGTCCAGAGAAGGCTTCTTAAGGAGGGGCCTCACCACCGCCTCTTTCAAGGCAAGCGGCAGGAAACCCTCCCACAGAGAAGCATTTATAATCCTCTGGAGCCAGCTTCACGTAACCTCCCGGGTAGCCAGTACCAGCCAGGAGGGACACGGGTCCAGTAAACATGTTGTGTTTAACCTCCCCAGAATCCTGTCCATGTCCTCAGGAGTCACAGGGTCGAACTCGTCCCAGATAACATTCTCAAGACCCGCCTTAGCCAGCCCGCTGGAATCTACCCAGTCAGAGTCCAGGCCTTCCCGAATCTGAGCGATTTTATCGTGGAGATACTGTGCAAAATCCTCAGCCTGCCCTTGCAAGGGGTCCTCCCGCGCTCCCTGAAGGTCCTTATCTCTGACCTTGGGATAATTAGGCAAGCTGCCAAAGGCTTTTCTTGGCAACAGTTCAGGAACAGAAGACGCTGACAAGAAAGAAATACATCCAAACACGAAGCAAATCTCTCAACGGTTGTTTTCCAGCAAAGAGGCCAAGAGCCGTTGCTGGTCTTTTAAGCCTTATGGGAGGGACCAATCATCTCTTGGCCCTACTCCTGAGTTGTCCTCTCTGCTTTAGCTATTCCTGCCTTCTGGCAGCTCTTCTCATACGTGCACTAGGAATAGGCTCCTCCTGTTTCTCTGCCCTCTACTGTCAGCCTCTAGAGGCTCCGAAGTCCACGCATCACTCCCCGATGGCCCCGGCCCCATCTCTGTCTCTGACACAGAGCCCTCATCGGGCCTTCCCCAGCCTCCAGGACTGGCCCATGTTCTTCCTCAGCCTCATCACTGTCTGACTCCGCTGCCAGCTCCACAGGCTGCTGGCGGACCACAACAGCTTTCAAGATCGTGGTTGATGTTCTTTTGTTCTAAGTGATGGGTAGATTGGGCTGATGTCAATGTGTATTGATTTATTGGTGGAAAACCAGGCTTCTAGAAATTCCCTTTCTCTCTTTTTCACCTGGGTTACAACTGTGATCCCAGTTAGATTGAATTTGTGTCAATTGTGGGAACGAAATGTTTGCAACCAAATCACCAAGCTCGGAGCTCAAACCAACAATATATTTTTTTTTTTTAATTTGATTTATATGCCGCCCTTCTCCGGAGACTCAGGGCGGCTTACAGTGCGTTAAGCAATATAACTACCAACCCGAGCTACTAATATTCAAATGAATAGCAATAGCACTTAAGACTTATATACTGCTTCATAGTGCCCTTCAGCCCTCTCTAAGCGGTTTACGGAGTCAATAAGCATATTGCCCCCAACAATCTGGATCCTCATTTTACCAACCTCAGAAGGCTGGAAGGCTGAGTCAACCTTGAGCCACTCAGGATCGAACTCCTGGAGTGAGCATTGAGTTAGCCCTGCAGTACTGCATTCTAACCACTGTACCACCACTGCTCTTGTAAACATAATGGGCAGCCTTAAATTGCTTTTGGTGTTAGTTCTGTTTTTGTTTTAGGAAAGGAATAACTTTACCATACCCTTCTCATAATTCCTTTCCAGGAGTGCCAGACTCTGGAGTCTGAAAAAAATCAATTGCGTGAGGAGATGAAACAAGCTAAGTCACGGGAACTTTGCCAGTTGCAGGATTGTGGAGAGCTTGAGGAAGAAAATATTTCCCTGCAGAAACAGGTCTCCATCCTCCGGGGAAATCAGGTATAGCAATGTCCACAATGTGGATACTTGGCATTAACCTCATCTGTATGTATGCATGTACCTTTCATTGTATCTATCTGTTATGATAGATCTACTGTTGATTTGATATAAAACAGGTTATTCGGTGCTTAATTCCTATATTCTAAGGATGCTATTCAGATGTCTACAACTGTGTGCTAAGTATGCAATTTCATTAGCAATATTATCCTTGTCCTGCGCTAGCATATAATTGGAGAGAGAGAGAGAGCTGACTCAGACATTTTTCTGTGCATGGAGAGTATCTGTTTTCATACAAGATGAGATTTGGAAGAAATTATTATAGGGAGAAGGTTGAGTGGAAATAAATAGTGGATCCTTTTGCAGAAGCAAGGGCCTCTTGAATTTTTAACTGGTCACTTCATATCCTGCTCTTCTAGCTTTCATCCTCATTGCATAGTTTACCTGTTGTTCCCTGGGCCTCCATGAGTAAGAAATGCCTCAGTTAGTTCTTTACTTGAATAGTGTACAAGACATGGAGAAGGTGTAAATCAACCTTCTCCAGCCTCTGCAATCCAGGTGTGTGGAAACTACAATTCCTAAATGCCACAGTGGTTAGAAATTTTAGGAGTTGTAATCCCTATAGTTTAGTGAATAATTGTATATTGGTGGGTGGGGTGGGAGATAAATTTCCCTTTTCTTTAAGAGTATTGGTGGTTTTGGAAGATTTATTCTCTACTGCAGCACCCGCCTGGTAGAATCTTCTCCCTCTAGGAAAAGTGAGATTAGATCCATCCCTCTCCACATTCTGCAAATCCCCAAAATACTATGTTATCAGGCCTGAGGGGATCAGAAAGATTTTGCAATGGCTCTCTTACTGCAGTTAATATCATCTTCTCCTCTTTTGATTGCTTTCCTATAGTTATTTTTAACTGATTATTTTTATGTGTTTATTTTTTTTTTAATTAAGTGGTGTATGCTGTGCAGAGTCACTTTCATGTGAGATGGATAGCTATAAAAATGTGATAAATAAAATCCCTTTATATCTAATGCAATTATGTTCTAACTGGCAAATTCCAGGTATGTACACTTCAGCTTCCACAATTCTCAGTAATGTTCATGCTGGCTGGGGAATTTTGGAAGCTGCTCCACGTATCAGGAAGGCGTCATGACAGAAATTTGCCTTAAGAGCTGTTGGTGTAGTTGGATATGACAAAAATTCTTAACAAAAGAATTTTTAACAAAAAATTCTGGAGAATGCTTCTTAACTGCAAAGGGTCAAAGCTCCTTAAAGTTTCTATGTATATGAAGACAAGGTGTTAACATTATTCAGAGCATTAAGAAATTAATATTTTCAGAAAGCATTCTGAAAAATCTAACTCCTCCCTCATTAAAAACTGCAAATAGATACGGTTTTAGCAGACTAGTTCATTCTTTCCCAACTTGTTTTCTGATCTTTTCTTCAGTTAATGTTTACCTGCTTCCATTTCTTGTTCATTTGTATCTAGATTTATGATACAGTTACTTAAAGTAATCTTTATAGTTTTCCAATAATACAGAAATTCCTACAATGTTTATCAACATTGTAGAAAATTGTAGACAATTTAAAACAATTATGATTGTTTTTAGAAAATAGAAAGTTTTTTCCTTGTGTAGGTCATAGAATAAATATTTTCAAGACCCCAACCTATCCATTAATGCACTTTTATTAAAGTTTTTAAAATGTAACCTTATCTTCCTCATCCACATTTTCCTCCTCGCTGCTCAGACACTCCTCAACATGGGATACAGCTCACTCCTATTTGCACGGCTGGGTGTCAATCAAACCCTCTGGAGCTGGATACGCCCTGCTTCCTGCTCCTTCCTCAGTCTTTTCACTCAGCCATTTGCAAGTGCATTAGGGTGTCTGTTCTCTCGTAGTTTTCTTACTGAATTGTTATTTTAATTTGTTATTTTTCCATTTTTGACCGTTCCCTGTTGTTTTTGAGGCTTGCGCTTTCACAGCATTACTAGCACAGGCTAATTGGAGCGGAACGGCGGTTCGGGGCTCCGGCCGCCGTTCGAGGCTTGGCTTTGCTCAAATAATCATTTGCCGCCATTTCTTGCCGCTGCAGCCATCCCTTGCCTTTTTACTGTGTTCTGACCAGCGCAGCCTCGTTTTTGGATATCGCGGCTTGAGTCCCTGCCGGCTGGCATACTCATTAGCCGAACGGAGGCTTACTTGGGCAATTTTGGGCTCCAGCCGTAGGCGCTTTGTTTCGCCTGGCTTGCGACGCTCCAACGCTTCCTTTTCGGACCGCCATCTTGTGCAGTGACCTGGGCTTTGGTTTCCAGGATCACTAGCCCACCATTGTGCCTCTTCAACTTGTGCAGCGACCTGGGCTTTGGTTTCCAGGGTCGTTTGCCTTCCTGCAGGTGTGGACGCGGTCCAGCGGTTACCTGCACGTGAATCTGCCTGACTCAGCGTGACTGCCATCATCAGGGAAGTAAACCCCCTTTTTTCTGTTGATAATAATTTAAAAAAAAAAAAAAAAAAAAAAAAAAAAACGGAAATTCTGGTATCTGTATGCATTGCTGTTGGCGGTAGATAGTTATTAAGTGATATTGTATTTTTTGTGTAGATATTAAAAAAAAATATATATATATATTAATTCAAAATTTCAAAATTCAAAATTTCAAAATTTTAAAATTTCAAAATTCTAAAAAAATCTTCAAAAAAATTCAAAAAAATTCAGAAAAATTGTATTTGTTCTTATAAACAATATGGAGGCTGTTGATCTGTCTTCAGACCTTGACAGGAGTCCATCTCCGTCTCCAGTTCCTTCTCCTAAGCACGCTAAGGGGAGGAAGACCAAGGGTGCCAAATCTACCAGGTCGGGCAAGTCTTCTAAGGCAGACAGGATGCCCAACGCAGACACAATGCTCTGGAAAAACAGTTCACAAAGGCACCCCCCCCCCACCACCCACCCCAAACTTCCAAACCTCCCTAACCCTCCCCTCCCCCCAGACTTCCACACAATATACTCATATCCGATACAAACCCCCCCTTAGTATAAAACTTGTATAAAACTTGAACCCCTCCCTCCCCCTTATAATTTCTCTTTTTATCTTCATCACATTAAAATATTTCTAATACATTATTTTCAAATAAAAGCTATTTGATACTTCCTAGTTTGATATTTGTTCTGAACATATTCTATCCACTTTTTCCATTCCCATTCATAAGTCTCTTGTGAACAATCTTTTAAGTATGCTGAAATCTTCGCCATCTCTGCAAAACTGGCCATCTTCAAAGTCCATTCCTCAATAGTGGGCAAGGCTTCATTCTTCCAGTATTTACCTATCAACAATCTTGCTGCTGTTATCATATACAATATCAATTTTGTTTCACCCAATGTAAAACCCTTAACTATACCCAATAAAAACAATTGTGGAGAGAATTGAATTTTTTTCTTCAAAACATTCTGCATGACCCACCAAATTTTTATCCAAAAAGCCTTAACTTTCCTACAGGTCCACCAAACATGATAATATGTAGCATCCAAACATTCACATCTCCAACATTTTGGCTGAACATTAGGGTACATACATGATAACTTTTTGGGGTCTAAGTGCCATCTATAAAACATTTTATAGAAATTTTCCCTCAAATTCTGCGACTGTGTAAATTTAACGTTCTGAACCCAAATTTTTTCCCATGTTTCCAACATCACTGGTTCTTCAAAATTTTGAGCCCACTTAATCATACAATCTTTAACTAGTTCGGTTTCTGAATCCCTTTCTAACAAAACATTATAAAGCCTTTTAATATGCATTGGACCTTTCTCTTTTATGTGTCTAACCAATTCTTCCTCATGCAACATAATACCAGTTTTTTGGTCCTCTTTCCATCTCAATTGCAATTGATTATATTGTAGCCAGGTTATATTAATCCCTTCAGCCAACAGTGTCTGTAGTGTCTTCAGCTGCCATCTGCCCGCATCTGTAAAAATAACCTCTTTATATAAACCCCCCCCCCCCCGAGTGACATTATATTTGTATTCCACAAAGTATGACCAAGATCCAGTCATAGCGGTATTTTATAATCCCATTTGAATCGGTGCTTCTTCCAAACTCTCATCAAAGAGTCTCTAAGTATATGGCTTTTAAATACTTTGTCGACTTTGTTATCATAAAATAAGTAGGCATGCCATCCAAATTCAAGATCAAAACTTTCTACATTCAATATTCCAGTCTTTTTCCTTCCAAACCAATCACTTGTTAGAGTCAAAGCTGCTGCATCATAATATAGCTGTAGGTTTGGTAGTTTAAGACCTCCCCTTTCTGGAACATCTTGCATAATTTTCAATTTCACTCTTGGCTTTTTCTTGTTCCAGACAAACTTATTCACTCCAGCTTGCCACACTTTCAATTGTTTATCACTTTTAAGCACTGGAATCATTTGAAACAAAAAAAGAAATCTTGGCAAAATGTTCATCTTAACTGCTGCTGTTCTTCCAAGTAGAGACAGTTGCAGTTTTTTCCAAGTCTCCATATCTTTCTGCACCTCTCGCCACAACACCTCATAATTATTTTGAAACAATTTCATATTTGATTCTGCAAGCTGGACTCCTAGATATTTTACCCTTGGCACAACCTCAAAACCTGCCCTCCTTTCAAGCTCGTGTTTACGATCTTGTGTCATATTTTTAACTATCATCTTAGTCTTTTTGTGATTCAGTCTAAAGCCTGAAACTTTACCATAGTCTTGTATAATGTCCTTCATCAGGATTATTGATTCCATTGGCTGTGTTAGGGTAACAACTAGATCGTCTGCAAATGCCTTTATTCTGTAATCCTCTTGCCTTATCGTTATACCTTTCAAGATATTAGTCCCGTATTGTATTTAACAAGACTTCTAGTGTTAAAATAAATAAAAGTGGGGACAGCGGACATCCCTGTCTTGTTCCTTTTTCAATTTTAAACTCTGTTGTCAAGCTTCCGTTAATAATAATCTGTGCCTTTTGCTCTTGATAAATTGCTGA